CCCGGTCTCGAGCTCCGGTCTCTCGCTTTTATGATCTGTGCGGGACATGTTGGAGTGGTCTTTATCGGAAATGGGTGCTCTGAACGTTGCAGGAACCTCGTACAATCTCGAAGAGATAAACCACTTTTTATTTCCAACTTCCCCTGCTGTCTCGTATATTCTCCCCTTTTCAAAACTCAAAAAATGTTGCCAGGAGGGGCGGGGAACGACGTGACCGGCGGCGCGGGTGGGGGATATGTCTATAAGGAGGGTCGCGCGGGACCGGACAATGGTGACGATAATGATGAGGGTGCGTGGCCAGGTGCGGGGGTGTGGCGGGGTGCGGTGGAGTGGGCGCGGGCGGCGGGGAATAGGCTTGCGGAGGCGGAGGAGGGGGTTTGGAGGTGGGTTAATCGGCGGTAAGGGGGGGGGGGAGGAGGGGGAAAAAGGAAAAGGGGGGAGAGAATGGTGAAGGGGGTTTGTTTACGAAGAGGATAAGGGTGGATTTTTTTGTATATTGTGAGTTGGGCTGGGCTTGGTTGCTTTTCGGATTATTATTTTATCTTGGGTTTTTGGGAATTATGGATAATGGTGTTTGGATGAATAGGTGATTGTGGATTCTAATATTGATCCATGTTAAGACTTTGAGTTTGTATGATATAATCTAATCGTTCAGATCTGCTTTCTTCTACGGGCTTTTTAGTCTAGATGGGCTAAGTTAGGTTATTATTTTGCTCACTAGATGTTTCAGTAACTACTTGACGGTGACATCAGATAGATAGATGATCATGAAGTCTTTTCAAATTGATTCACATTTCACAGTGAGAAGGTCAAGTGCTTGAATATTGAATATAGAAACTAAAGAAATAGAGTATGTGCATATATAGACACACTTAAACTGAATATATATATATATATCAGTATCTGATATTATAAGAGTATCTAAGGTGTGTATAGTAAATAACAGTGGTGATAGGGGTATGGTATGTAGCAAAGAATTGAAAAGGAGGAGAATTGAAATCACACGGAAAAAAAAAAAAAAAAAAAGAAAGAAAAAAAAATCGATAGGATAGATATGAGCCGGCCAAACCATAGTTATTCATTTTCATTTCAATCCCAACTAGAAATAGAAAAGGAAAGGAAAGGAAAGAAGAAGAAAAGCTCGAAAATTTGAAGCTCTAAAGCACCACCCAGTACTGTACAGTTAAGACGACCGAGGCGCGGAGCGAATGAAGAAGAAAAAAAAAGAAATCATCATCACAATACAAGATAAGATGTAAGCAAGAGAGATAGGGGGAAATAAAAGTTTAATAAAAAACTCAGTGCAGTACACTTAAGATGACCAAGTTTCCTATGCCACTCTTTCTTTCTCCCTTTTTTCTCTTTTTCCTTCTCTTAGCTGTCAAATCGATGCTTTAGTGCCTCTTTCCTGTTTTCCTTCCTTTTTTTTCCTTCCTTTTTTTTCAGTGTTGTTGTTTTCTCCTTTTTTTGTATGTATTTCGAGACGTTATTCACAAACGGCCAGTACATCAAGTACAATATCAACAAAGGAAATGTCAAAGGAGAAAATCAAAGATGATATAAAAATAGAGAGGGGAATAGCAAAATAGACAAAGAAAAAGGAGTTCATTCAAATAAGAAAACACTGGAAAATTGATTAAAAATGTTGTATGAATGAGATGGTTAAAAATAAGAAAACAAATGCTGACGTGACTGGAAAAATAAAATAGAAGAGGTAGGTAGATAAATATATAGAAAAAGGGAGGGCCAAAGATTCTATTTTTCTCTCTCAAGAAGTGATGTGCTACTGCATTGTCGGTAGCGCATGATCAAAGCTGCTCAAGATATGAGCGCGGAGAGAAGAGCCAAAGGAGGGAGTGGGTATATGGGGAATATATGATATAAACAAAGCAGAGTTTTAGAAGCGGAAAGAAAAGGAAGCAGCAATGTCTAGTCGCCAGAGTAGAGAGTATTGAGGGTATGAGAAGAGAAAAATTAACGGGGAAAAAAATACGAGTTCAGTAAACCGTTAATAGGCATGAATGGTAATTTCAACGCCGTCATTGACACCCAAATCAATGTAGTAAGTGGGAACAGGACAAGAAAGTACAAAAGAAAGTAATAATAAAACCACAAGAAACGAAAAAAAGCTTCGTGTTAATGCATACGGGGATATTGACAAAAGAAAAAGACAAAAGAAACAGCTACAAAGGGAATAAGACAAAAGGAAAAAAAAACACATAAGAACGCCATCATGCCATCGCTGAAGGCATGAAATAAAACCTTTACCAAACCCAATGTTGTGCCCATTTGTGTTTCCCATAGTTTTCCCACGTGTTTGTCTGATCGTGGGTTGGAGCGTTTTCCCTTGCTCCACCGTATACAATGTCAGTCTGGCGGGCATGTGAGTGTATGTGTCGGAAGGGAATGTGTCGAAAATATCAATAATCGTGAGACGTTGTGAATGGTAATAAAAATAATATAATAGTAATGGTGACAAGAATAAAAAACCAAGGCCTAGTCTGGTCCGGTCCGGCCTTACCAAGGAAGATACGCTGAATATGAATGATGCCGTATGTTAAAATATGTGATTAGGTATGTTGTTGATGTGGCGTGTCGAACGGTATGTGAGGGTAGAGAAAACCGTAAAGAATGGTGTTACATAGAACCGAGCTGCAGGAGCGCTTCGACTGCTGCGCGTTCTTCGATATCGCCTCTAACACCGTCGGGGAAAGAAAAATCGACATGTTGAAGGGGAATGCCGCCGGGGACGGATTTGGTGAGGGCCGAGTATGAAGGTCCACCACCATAGCCCCGACTCCTACTTTTGGAGCCAGCCGCGTAGGTATTATAATTATAATGAGAATTGTTGTTGTTCACGTCAGCACCACCCCCAGGGGCACTAGGGTAAGACCTGGCCCTGAGGGCGGCAGCTCCAATCTGCGCCCAGTCCTCTTCATCTGTGGCGTCTGCCTCATCCCAATCTCCGTCCATAGGTATTTCATCCTCTGGAGTTTCGGATGAGGAACAGTAGGAAACTCGATCGTCTCCGTCGAGTGACATTTTGTCCGCCTCGTGCTCTAACATACTGATATCTTCATGGTCTCTGTAGTCGAAGTCAGAGTGAGAGAAAACGACGGAATCTCCTGCCATCGAGGAGCCGCACTGGCCAGAAACGTCCCGGGGCTTTCGACCAGCAGGGATCTGGATCCGGATCCTGTCATGACGAGAGTAGGAGGACGGCACACTTCCCGGAGGAGATGCGGGGCCATCTCCACTGTGCTTGGGAGGTTGGTTACGACGCCTCGCATCCCACCTGCCCCAGCCGACCTTTTCAAACTCGACGTCTCCATCGACTCCTGCACCTTCGCCGCCGCTTCCCCTGCCTTCTAGGGCTCCTACGACAAGTCTGCGTGCTTTGGCAGGAGGGATCCTGGAGAAACCTGGTACCGAAGTAGTCAGGTAGCCGATGATGTGCCTTATAGCCAAAGGGCCATGAGTGAGAAGGATATCAGGGAGGTGGTGTTTCGCCAGCATTCCGGGAGAGATCGCATCGGACCCAGCGAGGGAGGTCAGGTTCTCTGCCACCAAGGGGATATGGTGATGCTGGTCCTGGCTTTTCGCATGGTCGACAGCATCCTGCAGGTCGATATCAGAATCGACGTGCAAGGGGACGTAGGGCGGCGAGGCGGGAAGATCCGAATGTTGGCGTTTGAAGGCATGGGGTGGCATGTTAGGGGAGAGGGAATTGGGAGGGGTAGGTAACATGGCGGGTTGATTATGGCGGTGGTGACGGCCTGGAACAGCAGCAAAGCTGTCCCTGCCAGGAGATAAGCCACTATCACGCGGCTTGGGGATCTCAACAGAGGCGGTCTTGCCAGCAAGAGCCATGGCAATGCTGGACGAAGCTGGACGAGTCGCCATGATTGCGGATATAGGGGATGATTGTTTTATTCTGTTGACAGCGCAAAGAGATATATATAAATTAGCAGATGGATCCAAGGAGGCACACAAGTACTTTTTGTACAAGTGCAAAGGAGTGATATAAGGCGAAGAGGCTTTATTGAAAATAAAAATAAAAATAAAAAAGGGAGGGAGAAAACACGCGCGCGGCACCATAAAGCCGGGCGCAGTCACGCGAAAAAAGAAATTAGGCTATGATAGATAGGAAATAGAAATGCACGCACCACTCGAGAATATCCACGGTTGAGGTTTGAAATCGCGAGGAGACAGACAAAGACGAGCGGACTAGCTCAGGCTCAGCTGTATGCGAATACAGGGCAAGGATGGATTAATGGCGATAGGGAGACCGGTCGAAGGCACAGTCTCTCTTGGATGGATGAATGATTATGAGAAGGAAGACGAAAGAAGCGAAAAGGCCGAGAAGATGACAGACGAAGAAGAAGGAGAAGGAGAATGGACGGTGGGTGATTAGCTAGTATACGAGAACCGGCAGCACTCGCAGATATCTGCTAGATTTACTCTGTAGTTGGTGGTTGATGATGAAGTTGAAGTTGAAGTTGAAGTTGAAGATGGCGATGGCGATGGCGATGGCGATGGGCGTCGAGAAAAAGAGAAACGGCAAGGCAAGGCAGGGTTAGTCACCAATCTAGGTGGGTACTTCCCCATACATTTTATTATGGGGCGGTACTTACGCATACACGGACTAGCCTAGGTAGGTTCGCCCAGTGCACGTGATTACACTCCCGCCGCAAGTCCCAGTTTGGGGCGTATTTATTTTTAGCGGTATTGCGCTGTATTTGTATTTTTCTGGGTTTTGATGACGGAGGCTCGGGAGCAAAAAGCAGCCAAAGATTGGGCAGGATGGGCCCTCATTACGTATGTAACGGGTGTGTAATGCTGCAAGACCTCCCTCTTCCCTCTTCCTAAAGTTCTCCTTCTCTTCCCCTCCTCGGTCTGGCTATTATTATCAGCTAACTCATCAGCTAATCAGCTAACTAATCACCAGCGGCATGCTTGTTTATCGGCTCCTCATTGCTCGGATCGGAAAGACTGAGAGAGCCCTGGAGACAGACCAGACCAATAACCATGCGTGCGCGAGGGGTCTGAGCCCGCCCAAAGTCCCCAAGGTTGCTTGCTATACCCTGTTTCCTTGGCCCGCATGCCTGCCTATAGTTACCTGCATACCTGCATACCTGCATACCTGCATGCTATTCCTGCTGGATAGAGAGGTATCCATAATTCTGCCCATTATTTGATGCAGAGACATACATTCTAGGTCTGAATGGCATAATTCCCATCTAAACTGTTCTACTGCGCGTCTGGTTATGAAACTTAATCTAAGCATGCAACGCGAACAAACGAACGGTGGGGTTTCTATGAACTGCTCTCTCCCAGACATACATACATACATACATACATAACTAACTAACATTATTGACTGCAGCCCAGTCCGTATCAAAAACCTTCGCACTAACCTTCCAGCTAATCCAAGCCTGCCAACATCACAACGCACCATCGTGGTTGGCGGGGGGGGTCTTTCTCCTCGTCTTCCGCGCGCGAAAAATAAGACTTTTCTCCATTATTCCCTAGTTAGTTAAGTTACATCATCCGTTTTCCCTCTCTTCTTCCCCTGGGCTCAGTGGTAAGGGTAAGTTCGTCGCCCCTTGGAAACCCGCATCAGCCCGCAACATCGACCACTCACTCTCCGCTCTTCTTCCATGTTATTGGCCGGCTGCCTCATCGTGCTGTCTGTGGTTCTGGCCAGTTCAGCGTAGGCGGTTCTCACAATCATCGCAACAAGTAAATAAATAAAAAATTAAATAATAAAAAATTTTGAATTTGGCATCAAAACATTTGCGTCACCACATGCGGCTGGCTAGATTCGTCACCCCCTTCATTGCCCAGCCGTGGGTTATCAATGGCCTAGTTCGGGGTAAAAAATAAAAGAAAAGAAACCATCAAACCTGGGTTGACTGCAAATGCGCAGGGCAAGGTTTCGAGGGCGCAACAGCATGTGGGCGATTTCGCCAAATCTACACGCTCCATTGACTACTGATACAATAATAATAGCTCAATAATGTTATCATCCTTCCATGGAACGAGTGGTCCTCTCCTCCACCGTATTGTATTCATCTTTTACTACTAACTACCTTGCTTCTTCCACATTATTTTTATTTTTCAGTATTTCGTCATATCATCTAGGACCACGTTAACATCAACGAATAACTTGGACCCCTTGATCTCTACGTCATCTTTGCTCATTCAATTGAACAAGAAGCAGAACTGACAAAAAACAAAAAAAAAAAAAAAAAAAAAAAAAAAAAAAAAAGAGAGAAAGCATTTCAATTGGAAAGGAGATTTACCAAATCAAATAGATGCATGTGTGTATATGTCTGCTGCAGCCTCTATTGCCCCGCATCATCTCATCTCTTGCAGTTTGCTGAGTTGTGTTGTCTGCAGATGACAATGAAGCTATCATTGGCCCCTAGCAGCAAATAGAAATACTTCTCAATAATACACATACACACTCAACATCAATCCCAGCAGCTCGATTCCAGGTATGAATGCTTGGGAAGTTATAAGAATACACCTAATCCCTGTTCAACTGTTCAAAAGAAGCAGAAGAAAATGAATTCCTTTTTTTTTTCCCCTTCCTCACTAACTACCTACCCAACCTTACCCACCATCGCTTAATTTTTCTTTACTACTTAATATTGCAGAAATGTCTCCCTGAACGAAGGTGGGTTGAGAAGAGAAGTAGCTGGGATGGGATTCGTCTCTGAGATTTCCTATTCATCACACAACTTGAAAGAAGGAATAAATAAGAGGTAAAATATAAAATACAGAGTACCGTGTGGAAATTTTGCCTTAGAAAACTGAGAGAAGTAAAATTTATCCCCAAGGTTCCCGTCTGCATTTTTGTTAGATCTCTTCTGCCGCAGGCACAGAATTAATTCATTATTAGTAGGAAGACACCGAAGAAGAAATCAAGCTGCACTGTGCACTCACTCATCAATCACAGTTAGTTTGTCTTCCTCTTCCTCTTCCTCTTGCTATTCTTATTTTTGCTATTTATAAATTTCAGCATATTCATCAAGGTCTAGACAAAAAAAACCACTTGGGCAGAAACATTAGTTAAACACTAGTTCTTGTTTCCACCCTATCTCTTTTCTTTCACGGAATCGGTTATTTAATCTGGCCTGCCTAGGTCTGATATGATAATGATAAGGCTCGTAAGGTACACAGCATACAATACATACCTTGGGGGAAAATGAGGATGGTTCCAATTTTTCTCTCTCCATCTTCTATTCATGATTGGATGAATGTACCCTTTCACGACCGCCCCCTGGGTTTGTGGATGTTTTGAAATTGTGAAATCTAGGCCTTCTCGTCCACAACGAAGAACTAACTGATGTTGTAGGCTGCTGCTCTGTAGTCAAAAGTTAGTACGTAGGTAGGTAGGACAGGACGCTTTGGGTTCCTGTTGGGGCTGAGAAACACGCCCAATTGGCCATAAGTCCAAGCATGAGATGAGAAACTGTTTCTGATCACCGTCCGACTATATCAGTTCTTGCTGAGGAAGTAGATGTAGACCGGGGATCCTCGTCGCGGACGCTGGCGGGTGTAATAAAAATCTGCCCGGGAGACGGTCACACAGGGGGCGGAGCAGAAGTTATACAGCACCAGCGGAACGCACATGTAACATGTACATTCCACATTCCTCCAAATTCATATATCGTTCGCCCCAATAACATCCATCTCCCCCTCAACCCTAAGCCTAGGAGCTCCCCTTTTCCCCTTTCCTCTCGCACCACCCCTCCCCGCCCCGCCCTTCGGATTCTTTGCCTTCAACATCCACTCCGGCGTCTCCTGCACCAGTCCCCCCTTCTCCCTATCCCACAACACCCCCAGCCCATTCTTTCGCTCCACAACAATATCAAAAAACTCCACCCCAACCCCCTTCCTCCCACCGGCCTCCGTTCCCACCCCCATTATATCCACCCCCTCACTCAAAATAACCCCATTCTCACTCCTCCAAAACGGCACGCCCGCCGCCAACGCCCTCTTCAAATCAATATATATCAGTATCTGCGCATCAGCTCGCATCCCGGAAATAACCCCTCCAGCACCACCACCCAGAACACCACGACCAGGCGGCGTGACTGCAACAGACCCTTCGCGCCCCTCCGGTAATACGCTGGCCAGCGCCGGTCCCGTGGCGAAATGTATGTGGTTCCTACTCATGCATCTCAGGCCGCCGTCGGCGAGTATCGACGGCCAGGCGGCGTGGTACGTGCCGTGTACGACGTTGTCTGGGAGCGGAGGGGCGGAGGAAGAGAGGTGGTGGTCATCGCCGCCCGTGCCGTTGGAGGGTGTGAGGGTGAGTCTTTGGAGGAGGGAGGCGGCTTCGACGGCTTTTATGCTGTGGCCTTGTGTGGCGCGGATTAGGTAGTGGGATGGTTCCGGATCGTTGGCGGCTAGGGCTTGGGCGGTAGCAGATGCGGTCGCGGTTGCGGTTGCGGCAGCGGCAGCGGCAGCTGCGGCTGAGGCTGTAGTGGTGGTGGTGGTGGTGGTGGTAGAGCCATGGCTATCTTGTTCGCATGGGTCTGTGGGCGCTATTGTAGTTGTCTCATCGTGTGGTTGTGGAGGAGGTTTATATAACAGGCCGAACCGTTGCTTGTCGGAGGTGTGGACGGCGTTTAGGATTTCGGGGAAAGTGACTTTTAGGGATTTTAGTTTTCTCCAGGCTAGCTGTTAAATCAATCATATCGCTTCCGTTAGTACCTTCTTTTCATACTTTGTTTGGAATCTAGTGAACGGCACCGTTTTTGCTTGGCGGGGGGTTTGTTTGAGAGGCCTGCGGTGTGGATGGACATAATAAAAATGCGCGAGAGACATACCACATCAGCCACGTTCGCATAACCATGACTGTCGATTTTCACCCCTTCTCTCTCCGCTGCGTGTCGTAAGATGTAGCTCAACGCCTTGGACACAACTACCTCACGACCGGGCTCGGAGCGCCCCGCTCCGTGTCCCCGCCCATGATCCCGTCCTCGACGAGAATGTGACATATGGCGCGGGAAAATTTTCTAATATTTCGCTAAAAGCTCGAACCGAACCAGTCAACGAAGGCGTCTGGAACGTCGTCAGAGCTTCGTTGTTTGTTGTCTGTCTGTTGTGTGTAGAAGTAAGTAGCTGAGGCGGAGTGGGTTTCAAAGAATCATGTGGAGTTGAGGTGGAACAGTGAATACGTACGAGGAGCGGCGAGCTTTCGCTTGAGAAGTTGGTGACCTTCTAGTAGTGGTTGACGAGAGGGGAAATTTCCCTTCTTCAAGAATTATATAACTTTGCGCAGTCATTCGAATAACCTCTAGTTAAGTTATTTAGTGAGTGATCGTCGGTATTAAGTAAGCCTTTTTAGCCTCTTGTTTTAGGTTCGGCAAATTCCTAATATGTGGAGATGTGAAGCTAACTACTCCGTACGTCAACGCTGTAGCAACAATTTGTTCGTTGGAGGAGAGACAACGTAGATTCTACGTATTATTGGCAGGAAATGTTATTTCAAGTAAAATAGGCGTGGTATATTTCCAGAGATTATTGACACGAAGGCGAACGCGAAGAGAACAATAGAACCACGCGGACAAACGACGGGCCTATTCCAAAAAAAAACAAACACAACACTCAAAGCCACAAAGGTCATATTTCATCGGTCACATATGCAATGGCATTCAGCAACTGGACAAATCTTATGCTTTCTAAACCAGTCCCTTGCATGATGAGCGTGGAATCCGTGGTTGCAGTTGATGCAGAAGACGACAAATCTTTTCATCACATCTTCCTGCGGTGCCTCGCTTGCTTGCTTGTTCGTGCTTCCGCCAGCAATCGAGGCCCGAGACATTGGATCTGCAGTGCCTAACCATAAAGAACAAATTCCGCATCTAGGCATATGGCGCCCACACTTGGGGCAGATGGTACCCGACTGCGATGCAGTTCCCAACGGGCTCATTGGCACTGAATGAACGACTTCCATACCGGTTGATGGGAGGTCCGGATATTCAGACCCATCCTGCTGAGAAAGAGGGCGAGTGCAGTAGTTGCAAACTAAACTGATCTGCTGTGGAGGTGGTTTTATGAGTTTACGGGCATACCAAGTAACTGCCAGCTTTCGTGATTCAACGTCAAACCTAGCCCTATCTAGCTGGAGTTTCCAGGAATTGATCTGTCGTCGATATGTCTCTCGCCAAGCTTCATATCGGGTGCTATTTTGCGGATCCGTGATGAATCGCGGGACAGTATGGCTCATGGCAAGTACGGGCGTTTGGATGTCGCCGAACTTGTCTATGTAAGATTGAAATAGGTCCATCGCTCCATGGTCAAGGCCTGTAAGGACAACTCCTTCAATATTCCCTTGGCGTATCGCATCCATGGTTGCATCCCGGAGGTAAGAAGTTAGTTCGTCGTCGGGGAGCCAGCGGAGAGCAACTTCCAGTCTATATTTCAAAGGTAGTGTGACCTCTCCAATTACAGAATTCCAGTCACCTTTGCCCACTAACGCTAAAATAGCCCGAGCGTAGGGATCTGCGAGCTCTTGCCCGATTTCCCTACATGTTTCCTCCCAGTAGGGGTCGGTATCCCCCTTCGCTGCACCACTAATGGCCATGGCGAGAAGTTTATGTCCCTGAGTAGGCTGGTTTTTCCTGAGAGCCAAGAGAGCTAATTTTGGTTCATCTTGGAACAGAGCCAGTGCAGCAGCCTTTGTATGCTGACGTGCTTCTACAAGATTGTTCACCATGGCCTCCAAATCCGCAGTAGATTCCGCGGCTCCACTGATGCGAAGGCATAGTCGACGGTGAGCCGGGAATCGAGTGGTGCATCCCTTTCCTTCTGGAATACCAAGTGCCTTGACGAGATCTATGATAAGATTATTTATATCGATAGTTTGGTTCACATTAGAACGGAGTACGCGATCCTCGAGGCTCTGACCTATACTTTTCTGTTAAAAAAAAGTCCCATCAAAACTTCAACGTTCCTGGGCATGCTTACCAAGCCTCTCATTCCATATACTATATACACCAATATAATTCATATCCACCGAATTAATTATCATTGAATCGCCGATGGAGTTTTCTCGGGCGCCTATTTTTACTCAGCGAAGGGTCACCAGGCAAAAGAAGCGGGCAAACATACGCCCTACCCAATCCCAAAACTCCCACAGTCCAGGATCGTCAGAAAAGAGCTCTTTGTTGGCCTCGCCATCGACGAGGTAGCCCTCTTGACATCGTAACCGAGGAATGGACATCCATGCTAAAGCATCACGGACTGTTAGTCGTGTGTCAGACATTCCCGCCGATAAAGACCTTTCACGGCTCTCCCGACTGGGCAAACGCTGAGCGACCTTGGTTGAAGCAGAAGAATCGGGGGAGCTTCGGCCACCGCCATTTTTATTATCCCCTATAGTGGCTGAGCTGCCATTTGGTTGGGCGGTAGGTGATGTAGAACGATCCTGGGTTCTTTTCGAGGTTTTGGATATTCGTGAGGGAGATTCTGACGAAGGCCTTATAAGCTTGAAATCTAGGTCATGTTCTCCCAGCCCTCCGCGGGCTAATACGCTTTGAGAAGAAAGATCCATGGGGCATGGCTGCGATTGAAGTGTGAATAGCGCGACAGACCGATTGGCCAAAAGTGTAACGGTGGTCGGTTCATTTGACGCACTAAAATTCAAAAAGTCAAACGATGCTACTTTCTGCGAAGGATTAGTACTGCGGTCATGAGGAAAGTAAGGATTCCGGAAGTCTCGAACAGTCTTCGTGTAGATTTGTTCCGGATATGACTTGGAGGAATTTCTGCCCAGGGTCTGATCTAGTGACGTTCGGTTTTCGTCTGAAACGTATTCTTTGGCCATATCATATGCCTTGAAGTCGCCGTCACTAGACAACATCCCTAAACATCCCCGTTTAGTTCTAGAGAACCGCAGACTCCATATCGAGGATTTTGGGTCAATAACATTCCTAAATTCAAGGGCTGCCGAGAGCTGGCTGGAGTCCGTGGTTGGGAGTGCCGCGGATGGAAATCTAGCTCCGGAACGTCGATCCCAGATACAGATGGTAGGATCTCCTGAGGGATTGCCGGACGCAATATAATTTTCATCCAACCAATCGATAGCTAAATTATGTACACAGCGAGTGGGAAATTGTAAGGATGGGTTTCCTGAGCCCTCTGTAAATTGAGAAATATATATGTGTGTCACCGGTTAGGTAGTGAACAATCCAAAGAAGTTGAGATCACCCATACCTCGTAGATCATATATTCTAACGAACTGGCCCTTGACTCCCGTCACTAGAGTATCTGGCTGGTCTCTGAAAAACTTGATACTGGTAATCGGTTCCGAGCTCGCGAGCTTCCTCAAGGGTTCTAACGCGTGTCTATCGGACCCGTATCCTCGAGAACCGGTCACGGAGAGGCGCTGGTTTACGTCCCAGATATTTAAGCAAAAGTCATTCCTCACTTTATCCAGCCCAGCTGCTAAGAGTCCCTGAGTGCTAAATGCAACGGCATTGCAATACCTCTGATTCCTGATGGAGAAAACAATCGGAGCTTGATAATCATCGTCTAGACGAAGAATCGTTGCCTCCCCGGACGCCTGACCAACAGCTACCAGGGTCTCGTCAACAGGAGACCAGTCAAAAGCACGAAAGACAGGGGCCCTGGAGTGTGATACCAGCACATCGTAGTTCAACGAGGTGCTATCTCCAGACGTCACCCTGCAGAGCTTGAAAGATTTGCCAGATACATCGACGTAGAGGAATCTCTGCTCATCTGCATTGGAAGCTGGCGACCAACGAATTGCTGTTTCAATTGCTGTTTCCATTTTGACTCAATTATTGGCGGTCGAGCTCATGCCGGGTTATTAAAATATGTAATCCTCAGCCTGGATCTAGTGCCATCGTGGCCACAGCAAAACAAAACCACGCGTCGCCTGGATGATCCTTTGTTAGAGCGAAGTTGGGAACAAAAACACAAGTTGTCGCAACTCTGGTTCGCAGAAACTGCGGAGTTGAGCTTAGTTAATCCGCGCTTCTTCTGGGAGGTTCCGGCCCGATAATGGTCCGTTGATGACGCATGATGACTAAGCTGGCGTTAGCTTCAAGGTAATTTGGAGAAAATTGTTAAAGAAAGAGTGGTTGTTGAAGGTGAAGAAGTTTATTGACTCTGTTCACTTCTTGACTAGAACTTATTACGGCGGCGATAAATTATAAGACCCATTTACAAACGCATGGATTAGGTCAATTTCCCCTCTTTGACTCTCCCATCCGCACCCATACATCGGGTAAACTCAAGTGTTTCCAGTACCATCATGGCTTCATTCACGAAGCAAGGAAAACGAAAGGATATAGAAGACGACTCAATTTCCTTCGAGACCTCAAAGAGACATAGGGGGAACAATCTTGATGCGCGAGAGGCTTCTCCAAGAGCTCGAGACGAGCAGGACGACCGCCGAAAATACCACGATCGAAGCGAGTTTGATAGTAAAACTCGCAAGCAACCCAGCAACCCCCGAATACATGATCCAAACCCATACACCAAAGCACAGTCGCAGCGAGATGATCGCGCCTATACTGCGGGACGCGCCGCAGTGAAACCATTTCGTTCCCGTGATGTAGACCTCCCCTCCGCAGGCGAACTTAAGAACAAAATTCGCGACATTAAGCGCCTCTTAAAGCGTGCCGATCATCTTCCGGCCGACGTCAAGATAGAGAAGGAGAGGGCACTGGTGGGGTATGAAAGGGATTTGGAAATTGTTGAATCTCGAAAGAATCGGGCGGCAATGATTAAGAGATATCATTTTGTGAGGTTTTTGGGTATGTAGAACGACCGAGGTTTTTTAACACACGCACACACACGCACACACACAAAGCTTATACGTATACTTTACTTTACGGATGCTAACAACGCGCTCCGTCCTTCTAACTCTCAGAACGAAAAGCAGCAACCCGACGACTGAACAAACTCCTCAGACGGAAAAAGACACTCACAGAATCAGACCCAACTCCAAATAAAGAGGAACTAGATTCCCTCGAGGAACAGATATACCTCACCCAAGTCGACCTCAACTACGCTATATACTCTCCCCTGACCGAGAAATACATATCCTTGTACCCGAACCAGCGGCGCGATAAACAGGCTCCCGAACTGGAGCCAGAGCCGGAGGACTCAGATATCATCCGCAACAGTTCGGGCGAGAAGCCGCCGCTGTGGCACGCGGTCGAGCAGAGTATGAAGGACGGCACGCTCGAGCTTCTGCGGGATGGGAAGCTTGGGATTGGCATTTCTGGGCAGAAGAAGACGACGGCGAATAGCGGGCCGTTAGCAGTGCTGTCGGGACGGAAGGATGGGGATGAGAGCGTTGATGGATTGTCGCTGGCTGTGGAGGCGGGTGGCAAGAAGCATGGGAAGAAGAAGAGGGAAAAGGAGAACGAGAACGAGAAGCGGGGTGATGTGAAGAAGGGGAAGTTGGGAAGTTCAGGATCGAGAATGGAGGATGTGGATATGAATGGCCGGAAGAATAATAATGATGATGTTAATCATGATGATGATGACGATGACAGCGACGGCGGATTCTTCGAGGAATAGCATGTTATTCATAAAGAACTATACGCAGGACCTAAAAAAATAAAAATAAAAATCCCTAAACGGTTCTCCTGCGCCATGTCAAACGCTCCCTCATCTCAATTTTAGGCCGTTGCCTTGATCCATTATCTATATTCAGCGTATGAAAATCAAACTTCCCATGGCGGAATCATTCTATATAGGTACCTCCACGACCACTGAGGTGTATCCCGCTTTTAGTTTTATAGAGGACCTAATCAATTCCTCCGTTCGTGGATCATACAGCACATATCATATACCCCATATTTCTTAAGGTAGTGTGTCCCATAGCTAGATTAGTGTAATGGTACTTTCCGTACAAGGGGTCAGGAGAGTGGTTGGATCAAGTACGTAGGTATGTAACGTACGTTATAAGACCAAGAGACGGAGAAATAGGAAAGAAAAAAGCTTTCGTTTCAAAGAAGAGAGAAAGCTAACTTACCAGTTTAAAACAAAGACTAACAAGATGAAGGGGACATACACAATATCAGAAAGGAAATGGAAATTGAAGAATAGATCTTTCAAACAAACAAAAAAAAAAAAAAAAAAAAACCAACAGACACCAACCAACACCGACTCTGGAACTGGAGAAAGCCACCCAGACAATAACATTACACCATTAACTCTCAAAATCGCCCAATACAACCCACCCCACCACCCACAGGTAAATAGTTAACAAACGAACAACACCGCTAGGCCTGGCCCCGTATAACTACCGTGTAACCCCGCCCCATTCCAACCCATACATAAATAGCAAATAACTTACCCCCCACGCATTAACTGATCCGCAGAACATATCCCCCTTCCATCCAGATGACCCGTCGGGTTTAGCTATCCCTTACTCCCGGACGCTTTGCTCCGCTTTCATATATATATATATATATAGCGTACGTACTCGTCCCCATCCATCAAGGGATAAGGTGGGTATGGCAGGGATGTAATATGCAAAAATGACCCTTCTCCCATCCCATCCCATCCCATCATACATCATACATCATACATCATCGCTTTCTGGAAAAATGAGGTAGGCCAGCTGGTGCCTTCTCCACGAGGTATGTACATACATACATCGGGAGCCTAGCGGCGAGGAGGCAGGTGAGACAAGGTTAGATCGATAATTTTGCAAACTCCCAACGCGTGAAATGGATGCAATATATAACCAACAGTAGTTAGGACAATAAGGGGGAAAAGAGACAATAAGAGGAAAAATGTACGAGTACATAAGGAGTCAGTGTTAGATGGGGAACAGAAACTGAGGGAGCGGGGAGAAGGGAAATGGCAGAGTGGAATAAAAAAGGAAATATATGTTCAAGATACAAAGAGGATCATGGTGAGGGGTAAACCAGCCTGTTAAGTAGCATTTATTATCAAAAAAGGTAAACCGGAAAAAGATATGCAGTTGTCAAAGAAACACACACATAAGGAACGTGCGTAACACCATATATCCGTCTCAAAAAATGGTGGAGTTCACTAACCTATCTCCCCCTTCCCCCCTCACTTTTTACATTACCACACACCCTCCACTCCGCGCCCTCCTCCTCCGTCCCCCCAATGGCGCCAGTCCCGCAGGCCCATACGCACTCTCATCCCCTTCATCATCCTCATTATACATGCGCTCCACTTCCCTCGCCCTCCGCCGCCTGCGGCGCGCCCCAGCCCCGCCCGATCCAGCCTCCTCGTTCGCCATCATATAATCCGCCCATTTGCGCTCGAGCCGCATGGCGGCCGCGAGGTTGCCGCGCAGCACGCGCTTGGTGTGTTCGTTGACCATCATCTGCCAGCCGTAGAAGCATTTGAGGTCGATGATTTCTTTTGGGTAGAGGATTGTGGCGCTGGGTGGCGGGGGAGGGGTCGTGGGGATGGTGTCGGAGGAAGGGTTGGAGGGGGTTTCAGGGTTTGGGGTTATGGGGGTGGTGGTTGTTATTGTGGTGATTGGGATGATTGAGGACGTGGGATGGGGGTCTGTGAGGGTTGTGGTGGAGGTTGTGGAATCGGTGGAACCGGAGGTAGAGGAGGAGGAGAAGGAGGAGGAGGATGATGATGATGATAGAGATTGGTTTGATTCGGTAGGGGTTTTGGGAGGTATGGCTCCGGCGGCGGTGGCGATGGGAAACGGGCGTGCCACGAACGTGTTGCAGGACAGCACTTCTCTAATGCCTACCCAGGTGACGTTTCCACAGTCAAAGACGGCTACTCTGAAGCCAAGACGGGGGAAGCTATTGCTCGATCCGCGCGTGCGGGCCTGTTTGCAGAGCTCAATTAAGGTAAGATCGGAGGCTCTTGTGTTGTCGAGGTCGAGGGACCGGATACGGGGACAGGATTTCAAAAGTTGTAGCATCCCTGTGTCGCCGACTCTTTCGCAGTAGCTAAGATTCAAATGTTGGAGGGTTCCCGCGCACCGCGCCTTTGAGAGCTCAAGTAAGAACGTGTTGGTTAACTTGTCTAATTCCTCGAGATCCAGGTGTGTAAGGCGGGGAGTGGTTCGGATGACTTCTAGGAGGGCATTATCCCCTATATTTGGACACTGTGACAGCTGCAGCCCTTCCAAGTCTGGAAGGTTATGGGCAAGGCTTTTGATCCCCACATCAGTCAAAGAGCGGCAGCGGGATAAATCCAAATGCTTCAATTTCCGTGGAGGAACGACAGCACGGCCGGTCAAAAGGTCGATCTCTGGATCGACCCCCTCCATGAGAATTTTCAAGCTTGCATCCGATAAGGAGGAGCAGTGGGAGAGTATCAGCCGTTCCAGGCTATTTGTCTCGAACAGCTGCACCAGGAGTTGACGATTATCAAAGCCGGACAGCTCATTCACCCGCAAATCTCTCAAGTGAGGACAAGAGGCGACAATCCGTCTCAACCCTCTGGCGTCGACGCCCTTACACCAGGAGATGTCGAGGAATTCCAGTTGGGGACAGTTCTGAGAGATTGTTTTCATGGAGGCATTGCTAACTATGGACAGTCCAGATACATCAACATGGACCAGCTTGGGGTTCTTCCGTATTAACAAATGGAGGGTTGTTCGGTTAATCCTGGAATCCCTTATGCACAGGTTGACGAGATTGTGGCAAGTATTGGATATGAGCTCTCCATGTGACAACCATGCGTTTTCCAGCTGGGTACAGCCACGTAGGTTCAAGTCCCTCAAAAACGGGCCTGCACCGGTAATCACTTTTACCAAGGCTTCACTGGGTATATCGGTGTAGTAGGTGGATGTATCCAGCCTAGCCCACAGCTGTCCATCGAAGCACATTTTGTTCCACGCTTTGGACACGCGGGAGCATCTAAAGAGATCTTTAGCGGGTAGATACTGCAGAATGGCCATTTTAATTTCCTCCGGCATATCCGCCCAGAATTCAAACCGAGGCTTCGGTGATTTCACCATAACTGTAACCATTTCCGGCATTTCACAAAGGTTTTCGTCAAGTTCCATTGAACTCGGTAGAAGACTGCCTCTGGACGTTGGCCGCATATCTGCAGGGAGCGGTATGGAGCTATGGGAAGTGGTATTGACAGCAGCAGCAGCAGCATCAGACGTTACAACCCTTATTGGGATGCTGTTCTCATCATGAACGCCCTGGCTGTGGGGGGCGGTATTGTTCCTAGCCGCGAGAGACCCATACATCTGTGGTGAGGCTGGGCTTGTAAAACATTGCGTATAGGATGTTGAGTTAAGAGAGACACAGGACATTGAAGCTTTCCCGTGCCGCCGGCTACCAAGAGACGAAGAGCGCTGCCTGCCAGTTTTCAACAGGGAAGGGCTTGATGCGATACGCTGTAGTCCATGCAGAAGCTTCTCACTTTTTCTCTTCGGGGGCATACCCGGGTGGTTGTCCGCGGATTCCACGCTCATTGGTGTGGTCGGGCCAGGCGACTCCATCATCTCATCAGGCAGTATCGAAGTCATTGTTGGGTTATGTTGTAACTTGGTACTTAAAGGGAACAAGCTTGAAAGAGAGAGCTTGGTGCACAGCCGATCACACTTAAATATCGGGAACGAAATGGATTGGCGGTAGGAATGATAAAGGGACTAAGTAAGAGGTAGGTAAGAGACAACCGGGAGGGGTGATTTGGGGATCGAATCCAGCGCGATCATAGGGCAATAGAGGGTAAGGCGTAGATGGCTGCAACAGGTCAACTGCTGTCACCAAGTGAAGTATGATAAGCGAGGATGACGATGACTCTCAGTAAGCGGATGACGAAGGTAGGGACAGTCCACCGTCTAAGCAGACAGAGAGCTGAATGTCCAAGCGGTCTGCAGACCCGGATGGCAGGTAGAGTTTGTTGAGAGGAGGAGGAATAATTCTGCGGAGGGGTTGTGGTAGAGCGCGGGAGAGCGATGAGGTCAGCGTCCGGCAACAACGGGAGCGAGTAGTTAACCCTATCGCCGTTATAGGGTGGGAGACACAAACCACTCACCGGGCTTGAATTCCCAACGGTAGCCACGGGATCGGAGCAAACCAAGGTCCAAGCAGCTGGATGGTGAGCTATTAGTATTATTATTGAAGATAAAATAACAAATAAATAAAAAAGGGTCAAAAACTAATGACTACTTACTGGTGGGTGCTGGTGGCAGTGGTGGTGGTAATAGTAGTGGTAGGGTAGGGTAGTGCGGTGGCAGGTGAGGTGAGCCGAGGTGGACCAGAAATCATGACCACAGGCACGTCATATCGACTTCACAAGAGCCAGATCGTGTCATACCAGCAGGTCACTAGGCTCGGGGTGAGTGATCCCTCCAAAGTAAAGACTGTATTGTATGTAGGAAAGTTTGCTCGAACTCCAGGATTTGTCAGAGCAGTGGGACTGTTGTGTCTTAGCCAGAAGAGCAAGACAAGCTTCAGCTTTGGAAGAAACAATTTGGTGGTGATGGTGGTAACCTCTAGTTAGTTGTGGCGGGGGAGAGAGAAAAAGGAACAAGAGCAGAATAGAAGACGTATTAGGAGTGGAGAGTTACAAGTAACATTCCTATGCCACCACCACCACGACGACAGCTGCATCTAATGTGGCGGCTGACAGTGATTTATTCGCTCTACTACTGTGATTATTATAGGGCGTATTATCTGTATTCCTCCCATCATAATAAAGACTCTTAAAAAGAAGCTATTTAATCACCTCCAGCTATACTTAATTACCCGGGATCCTCATATCGAAAATCCTCTTCTGCTGAGCTGTACTTACATCTCCAACTCGCCATGCCCTACCTACCCTGATTCTGTATGATAAGTTATCCCCCCCCGCAGTGTTCCTGTTAGGTTAGCTAACTTACCTAGGCAGTTAGCTAGTTATTTCTTTGTCTTCCCCTCCCCTTCTTATCGATAACGAAAACGCTGTCCTTGTAGTGTGCTTCTAGCGTGGAAATAGCTCCGTTACCCCGGCTCCTTACTCCTCCCATCCATACGCTGTACGGAGTACATGTAATGTACATGTACATAACCTAGGTATGGACGTTCCCCACTGCCGTTTATTTCTCATTGCCTGCTCTCCAAACTCCGCATCAAGCCCTATTCAATTTTGTGATATTGTATGTGTGTATGAGAGAGGGAGAGGGTTGTCAGCTGTCCAAACATTAGCATTTCACCGGCGGCATGTGATTTCTACTTAAAGTTCTAATTCCAAAGTTTAGTTAGTAACCCGCGAATAGACAATGAGGGCTTATTATTAATAAACACGAGCGAAAACGGCACCTGAAGGTTCCTACAGGTTCCCGTATATGGTTACTCTGCCAAAAAGGCCATTGTCGAGCCTTTCTTTCAATGTTGCAAGTTCTGGCGTATGCTCTTTGGAGAAGGCCGGGATCCGATCCGCTTGCTCTTCTTGCCCGCATTATTATTTAGGGAACACAATGTCTTGATCTCAAACGTAGTGAGTAAGTTACGGAGTAGATTTCGTTAGGCTAGCAGCTAGTTTTATCTTCTAACTAATACGGAGGTGTGGAACATTTGTACTTGTACGTCCTTACAAACACTAGTAATTTAAGTGGTAAAGAGAATACCATCCTCCCGGGCTCTGCTTGACGTCTGTTGTGCCTATTGCTCAGCTGACTGGGCACTATTATTTATTATTGAGTGCCTATTCTTTAGGGCCTGAGCCCCTTAAACATTGAATGTGCGCGGGCCGGCGCAATTTGAATCCAGTACTGCAATTTCAATTTCTAACGTGTGCAAGACTTTCTGTTCCACACCTCCGTATATACCATAGCATTGATAGGTGGTAAGTCTAGATATATGTAGACGAAGATGTGTGTGTGTGTGTGTATGTGTGTATGTGTGTATGTTTGTACGTCCGTGGAGAGGAAAGTCACACAATGTCATATCCATATATATATATATATATTTATAGCTAATTTCCCATTCTTACGAATAGAAAAGGGTCGCTGTGGAGGACAGGAACAGACACAACAAAAACAAAACAAAACAAATAAAAAATAAAATAACTCAATAGTTATAGCTTAACAGTTATCTAATCTATCTATCCCAGTTATAGTTACCGGCTGCAGGCGTTAAGATATAAAAGGGGGAAAAAAGGGAGAAGAACCCCCCCCCCAAAAAAAAAGAAAAGAAAAGAAAGAGAAAGAAGAAAAAAATCAAAATCAAAATCATATACAATGATATTGTGTTTTTTGAAGGAAACAGAGGCTGGATGGAACAAGTACCATGGCCCTTGGGGAGATGATGGTGATGATGATGAAAATGAACAATGGCGCCGAACGGGATACTGAAATAAAGAGCGATGGCGATGAGATGCGTGAGAAAGCTGTTTGTGTGCCCTGTGGATATCGACTTCTTCAAACATGCTAGGAATCTTTCCTATTCTTTTTTTCTTTTTTCTTTTTTCTTTATTTTTTATTGGGGGGCCTTGAAATTGCTTCCTCAATTCCATTTTCCATTTTCCATTTTTCTCCATTTTCCCTTTTTCTTGATTCTCCTTCCCTTTCCCGTCCCCTGAACCCACCTCGTCCTACAGCCAAAATGTTATGCATAACGCAACATACACTCGTTGGCCACTATTGCCATTTGTGCACGCGAAGAAGTTCCCCGAAAACTATCAAATCAATCCCACCCGTCGTTGCTGCTGTGGTCGTCGTCGTCAATCGTTATCTTGTCGTTGAGTTGTCGTCCCCTGGGCTTCTTCCAGAGAAGTCACCAGGCACGGGTACGTATATCAAGGACACATGTTGTAGGTCCATAGCAAAATTTTCAAACTCTTTTCTTTTTGATTTTTTGTCTACACATTTAATCTTCCTATGTTTATTTAACAACAGTAGGACCGTCCTCAACCTTTGTAGCCACGGCAGTTGCCAATGAAGCAGGCTTCATCCACGGGTGCTGCATGACTCCTTCGATAGTGAGACGCTGATCAACGTCCCGATCAAGCATTTGGCGAATCAAATCGATACATTCTTCCGAGAAGGGTAGATAGGGGACGCGCAGCGGGTGATCAAGGATCTCGTCGATATTGTAGAAGGGGTTCTCTTTATAGACGATGGTGTAGAGGAGGATACCCAGGGCCCAGACATCTTGTTCCTTGCCGCCGTAGGATTTACCTTGGAGGACTTCGGGGGCAGCATAGTCTATTTCACGTGGTATTATATCAGTTACTATTTGTGTTCTAAGAGTGCAAAGAAAGGGGGGACGCTGTATCATCAAGAATTTTTAAAAGGATCTTATAGTAACAAACGATTTTTCACGTACCTATTGTACCAACAAAGACGTCAAAAGGACCTTTGCTGATATAAGCTGCGCTCCCAAAGTCGATCAGTTTTATCCTCCCCTCCCCATCAAGAATGACATTCTCGTCCTTGATATCACGATGAACAACATGTGCTTTGGTATGGAGGTGATGAATTGCATCGACGACCTGGTAGAAGATATTCCTGCATTCATCCTCGTCCATTTTCGATCGCAGCTCAATGTAGTCAAACAGATCCATGCCAGGAAGCCCATGGGGGACCATCTCGATGTAGTAGTTGGTATCGTCCTCAAAGAAGCCCTTCATTTCAACGATGTTAGGGTGTCGTAGGCCGTCGCGGCGCAAGTAATCCAGTACATGAATTTCCAAAGGTACGGTTCCGAGGCGTCGATCTCGCGTCCAGGTATCGACCAGAATCCGCTTCTTTGTTACATACTTTAGTACTACCTTACTTGCCGGGTTTCTCTTGCAGCGGGCCAGTTTCACTTGCCCGTACGCGCCTTGGCCCATTTCCTCCAGGATGACATATTCTGATATCGATTTCTTTTTTGGCATCTCTTTCTTTGTTGCTGCGCTTCGTACTTCAGGCACTGGTTGTACGGGTTTGTCCGTCAGAGGTTCCGATGCAGCTTCGTTTAGCTGCCTTGATAATAGCGATAGCTGAGCTTGGTTCTCAATAAATGGCGAATCGACGCGGGGGGGTTCGATTGCAGGTAGCGTCGGTGACCGCTGGCCAGGGGAAAGCTGTGGTGGGAGAGACGGGGATCTCGCTGAGAGTGGTTGAAGTTGTTGGTTTTTCTCCTGCATTGAGGAGTGAAGTTGTCGTGAATAGGTTATCCACAGTGCATATACAACTTCAGTAACGGCAACAGGCGCTCCATTTTCATCATCTACCGTTGAGTGCTCGCTGATATCGGATGTTGAGTTTGCGGGGAATATGGTTTCACTTTTAACAACGCGCAATTGAACATCCACCATAATCTCCGCTCCGTCGCGGTGACGAGATGGAAGACCAGAAGGTCTTGAAAATAAGGACGCAGCTTTCGTTTTCCCGTCCCGAATGACCAACAACGCTCTTGCTCTCCGGAAGCTATGTTCGGGTATCACCATTCCATCAACTAAGGACACATCATCTTCTTCCGTCAAAATGTTGAGGTATTCATCAAAGTATGGGATCAAGTCCGTAACCTTGAGATCTTTGAGATGCTCCTGACCAAAAAGGGCGGCGGAAAAAACAGAATTGGCGCTGATAACGTCCAGAGTTGTTGCCGATAAAACCACAATTCCGGCAACGTGTGGGAAATGGGAGATACGGAGATGATGAGGACTCGATAATTCGGTAATAGTAATCGGGATGGAGGCTTGATTCCGTGTCAAAGCGGTAAAGTATTTCAGCTCGACAATCCTTCTAAACACATCTTCTCCAAAATTCTCCTGCTGGGGTCGTGGGACGTTTGGAATAATATCCGTGATGTGGATCCCTGATTTGAGCATATTTGCACCCCAAATTGGCTCGATATCACCCTGACTTTCGAGTAGTCGTCCGCCATCGTCAAAGCGTAAATGAACCGTGTTTTCTACAATTTCTTCCAGTACCCAGATTAACCCCCCTCGCTTTTCGATAACCCAAACGCTTGCTGATCCTGTTACTCCATTTCGCTTCAGGATCGGTACGACGTCACCGCACAGCAAAACGCCACGAGATTTATTGGAAGAATGATTCATTTTCTTCGCAGATCTTTGGCCATAGGGAGTAGAACCACTGCCATCCTCGGTTTTCGCTCTTCGAGCGTTCGTCGCGTGTGAAGGGGATTTACTGAGTAATTGCGCAGTTACACCGTTCCCCATACCTAGAGATGCCGTATTGACGGTGTTTATTTTCAATTTGTCCGGCGAATCGGGTTTTCCTATATTATCTAGAGAAGGCTTCCGCAATTTCGACTCCAGCCACTGCCTTCTCTCCTTTTGGACAAGGTTTAGGATACTCAGCTTTTTGATGTCAGCTTCTGTCACACCAAAGCCCAGACATGCAAGATCATTAGCAGCGAGAATTGTCCAGGGCGCTGTTGATCCTGTTGTGAACACCGCCTGCGAAACCGGAAACCATTTACTACTATGAGTGTGAACGCTTGAAGCACCACCGCCACCTAGACCATACAAGATGCCACCATGAGAGAGCGTCTCGCCAGCCGAGTAGGGCTGGGCTAGGGCCTCCGTGAGTTTATTTTGAAGTGCAACTGACCCCAGGTCCGTATATGTTCGCTTTAGACTGACACGCCTTGATGAAGGAACAGACTTCATTCCCCGTTTTTGGGGTGTTATATGGTCATCTGCAATAGGACTTAAATATTGACTTTCCTCAAGAATTTGTCGGGGTGACGCAGGGCCATTCCGAGATGAAGTTTCACCGGTAGTTCGCGATAGGGACCCGGTGGTTGCGAACGCCTTTTCAAATATATTAGCCCCTTCCATGTCTGGCGGACCGGTGAGAGGGCCTCCTGCTAAACCCGAATTCACAGGCTGGTTTTCGCCACGATCCAGCAGATTCGCCTTAGAAACCAATTCCATCATGCTCTGAATTTCTGCGTCCCCGCTGAGTCGAGCCTGGGCATTGGCAAGGTGAACATTGCTCGCTGCAAAACCAAACCGATCTTTCATGAAGTCAATCGACCTTTTCAGTACATTTTGCCGATTGTGCAGGAATTCTTCAGATTGTTGGGCGAAGGAGAACGAATGGAGGGACTCGGAAGGGAAGCGATGCAAATCCTCTAGGCCAGGCGTAGACCGATCTGTTGAGAAATGCATTGATGGTGACCGAGACGACGCCACACTTTGCGAAGCGATCGAAGCGATGGGGGAGGTGAAGGTGGAATTCGATGTGTTCGGGAGAGTAGGAGCTTGTCTGATGCGTTGCAAGCCCGATGGACCGAGCCCGTGTTCATGTTCGAGCAGAGGCGACCTGTAAAGAGGGGATAAGTTTATGAACACTTTCTCACAGACGGTAAATCTCGAAAAAAAAAAAAGGATGTAGAGACAATACGGACCTTGAGATGTAGTCATATTCCAAGGAGCTAGCATCTAATGACTGCCTCTTTTGCGAAAAGCCCGTATCATCTGTAGTTCGCAAGGAAAGACTTTCCCTTGACCGGTTTGCAGGCCCTGGCGGTGGCATTAACGACGAAGGAGTCTGTTGTCCCGGAGGAGACGAGAGAGGACTGGGCTCGCCTGTCTCAAAGCTCGTCAGTAACACGTCCGGAATTTATTCATTTCGCCTCTTAGAGAAAAGGTTTGCCTGTCGCTGTGATCAAAACCATTCGATTTGGTGGTCCCTGGATTGCACTTTAGTTCTCCCCTTGAAACGAAGGCGGGGGTTTTGGCGTCTTCCACATGCTAAAACTACATCTTCCCGGGTTAGGGAGCAAGATGTAAATAAATTTTTGGCCTTCGCTCGATCCATGTCTTACTTTCACCTGTAGAACAGTCCAGTTCCTCTCTGAACCCACCACCGCATCCCGCAGCGACAGCAGACTATGCGGGCTTCTTCTTCAACATCTTTCCCTTTTTAAGAGGGGTAGTAGGAGTACTCAATAAAATGCTCCCCGCAGCGGAAGTCTCACACACAGAAGAAGAACAAACAGATCAACAGAACAAGCTTGCACTAACCATCATCCTCAACTGTACGCCGCTCCGACGACCCCATGATGTCCGACAACGGAGCCATGGACAGACAGCTTCGGGGGGTTGCTATAAAGCCTCAGGCTAGGCGTGGTGGATGTGGACCGCCCGCGCTATCGATCAGATGTGTCAAGACGACATGTGTTGCGGTTTTTCTCGCACGCTGTGGTTAGGGCAAGGGAGGAAATCGCCGCAGGGTAAGGTTGATCAGGCGTCACGGGCTTCAAAGTAGGATCAAATAGAGGTTCTGATGCTGTTTTTTTGGCTGGTTTTCGAGTGGCGTTGGGAAGGGATGTCTGAGGAAGAGGAGGAAGCGAGGATTGCAGGCTCAACTGCTGCGATGGCTGGTGATATTTAGAGAGGGTTAAAGAAAAGCCGTTCAAAGTTTGATGTCTGCTGCAGTGTTGGCGGCAGGTTGACTTTGGTTGGCAGCGGGTTGGGCGGTTCTGGAGGTTCGAGAGAGAGTTTATGTCTGCGGCTTGCCATGGGTTGTTGCATATTTAATAACGAACTAAATGATTAATTTTTATGTATTTAACTACCTACACAGCACTCTACGGAGTACAGAGTAGCTACTGTACAGTAAAAGAGTAGCAGAGATCGTTGTTTGCAGCAGCAGCAATAGGAGTGACTCTACCTAGCTATCTAGAAGGAAAAAATAACAAAACAAAATAACTTGACTGCTCTCCTCTCAAGTCATGGGCTGTTTTTCGAAGAAAGGAACATACAAATTTTGCCACTCCCGTCCCAGACGAACAAACAGGGCGACCGTTAGATAGTTAGTTATACGAGAAGACCGTGGGGCAAGGCAGCGGCAGAACCAACTCGACCCCCTGTGCCACCGGCCTTTGAACTAAACTCCAGTGGCTGAGCTTCCCCCCGCGGATGCACCAACTCTCCCACGCCAGTTGGAGGGGTTAGCTTGAGATAGGATAGGATAGAGTGCATTCATTACAAGAACTGGGCAGAGCAACCATGTACCTGCATCAGTTGCCTGGTATCGACTCTGGGATTTTTAAATGCTCTGCTCTCATGCTCACCCTCAAATCCAATGGAGGAGTTAACTAGTAGCTGAACCTATTTGTGCTGAGTTTTGCAAAACATTGCAAGAGTCACTAGCTCTTCTCCTAGGAGCCATGGATGGAATGACTGCACATGACTTCACGGTTTCCTATACATGTGCGGCAGAGCTAAATTTAAATGGCTGGAAGTTTAAAAAAATTGAGTGGGTAGGAGGAGAGCCTCATGGAAATATGAAAAGGTGCAAACAAAATTCTTTCATAAGGTCATTCATCGCGAAAATTGTAATCTAGAAAAACATAACTGCGCTCCTCAATCTACCTCCCGTACGTTCCATCTCTATAAAACAATGTATGGGTTATCAATTGCTGAGACAGAAAGAGCACGTAATTCGAATGGATGCGAACGCCTCGTTGAATTAAAACGAGCTGAAACCGCCAACCCCTAGAGCTTACAATGTTCACAAACAGACATTACCACAATTAGGACGATTTGGATGCTATCCCGCGTAAGCTATTTAAGACAACACCATCCTCTTCGTCTCCGGCTAGCTTCCTCACATCACCCCGGTTATCTCCAAATAGCGTGCCTATACTCCGACTCTGCTCCGGAGGCGCAGACACAGACGTCACAAATCCTGAACGCTCTTTGCTATCGCCTAGCATCCACGAAAATGGTGACTGTGCAATGGGCGCGCGGGCTGCCCGTGCTGCCGGTCGCAAGGGCACCGGTTTAATGATATCTGCAGACTCTGCGTCTCTCGTTTTAGGCAGGGCGTGGCATGCTGGCTTTTTCTCTAGCTTTCGTTCGCCGTTGGGATTGTTATTTTCTTTGCTCACCGCGGCTGCCGGTTTTGTCACACGTTCTCTGAAAACAGGATCACTGGAGCGCGCTCTAGCAGCTGCCTGCGTGGTTGATTTCCTTTCATCGAGGATTGGCATCGTTGGGTCTGCTAGGTACACTTGCACAAATTGCATTTTAGCCAAGGCAAGATCGATAGCTTCAGTGTTAGACTTGTTTGGATCCTCTTGTTGAGTGCGTAGCTCGTTGATGGCGTCGCCCAACATTCCGGCCAGAGCCTGGCTCCGGCTCTCTAGAGCGGAAATTCGAGCATTTAACCTACGTACTGTCGCTAGGCTGACATGTGGAGGGCTGGGTGAGTCGTGGGGCGGGCTTTCTGTGCGTCGGGGTGCCGGAGTACTTGCGCTGGACTGGATGTTTTGAATATTGCGTCTGGCTTCAACCATTGCGCCTCGAACAACTTTCGTTACACCCCATCCCTCTGTACGGCGGTGCAGCCCCTGTGACACGTCCTGGAACAAAGAATCAAGTCGTCGTTGGTGGCTTTGCACTGGAGAAAGGCTCGGGGACGGAACTTTATTCGGCGCATTGCTGGGTTCTCTGGTCGTGGGTTTCTTCTTCCTGCGAGACGAGAATTGCGGGACTGCATTTAGACTTGGTGGTTTGTACTGCTTGTTTGGATCAGGTACCTTTCCTGAATATTTCTGTATAAGTAATGTTGCACCTTCGCAATTTAGATGTTTTTCAAGAAATAAGCCATCTTCCACGAAAGTTACTGGCTTGTAGGGGATTGGCGCAGGGTATCTGAGCAGCAGTGCTAGGGCAGATGAGTAATCGGCATCGAGCACTAAAGAGGTTCTATCAGCAATCAACATTCAGAACAATTCAACATGTAAATGCTTACATTGCCACCTAATCCGTAGAAGCATTGCGACGCAAACGTCATCAATGAGTTCGAGTCTCATATTTTCGGCAAATAGTACATCCCATATATTCAGCACTTCGTGGAACGAAAATTCTCGCCCAAATAACAGACGTATCCAGCGACTATCAAAGATCAGCAACAACGCAGGACTTTCAAGTTTTACCAATACTCACGTTAGGAATATTTGGGGCAGTATTTCTGTGATTTGTAGATGATCTGCCAATTCTGGGTCAACAGCTCTGAGTAAGGCCTGGTGGATATGCTCGCTTCGCGAAACGATGGGCGAAACATCTGATCGGACCCCAGGTACCCTTCCGGCCTCTTGTTCATAAAATAACTTTGCTGTCTGCATGATAGCACAGAAGATGGTGAAGGCATCATGTTCCATATAGTCCATATCGAGGACTTGTAGCATCAAATCCTCCGAACCAGTATCGGAGGCTGAAACAACTGTGGTTTTTTTGTCGATTGCATCGTGTTCTACAACCCACAGAACAGGCGCGAGTAGCTCATGCATGCCCTGTCGGTACCCAAGATCGGCATTCAATTTTGTGTATATGAACAGTATATCCAGCATCCGTGCCTTCGTCTTGGGCTCGCGAAAGAAATAGTTTTCCTGCATACATCTTTCCACATCCTGGTATATTTCCGCCCTTATGGTTTCATCTCGCCGGAGGGTTTGCCAAGGAGACTATGGGAGGAATGTGTTAGACACAGGTTGACGGATTACCATTTGTTGCAAGGGGGTGCAGGCACACCTCATCGTCTTCCGCTAATGGATCTACTGTAGATGGAAGGTCATCTGGATGTTCTATATACCGCAGGAAGTGTTCCCGGAGGGATTGATAGGCAGTCCTGGAGTTGGATATCTCTGCAGGCCATGAAGCGGTATCGAGGTTTTGGTGAACTAGAAACGCCTGGTCCTTTGTTTAGCAATAAACTGTAGACGAACATGCGGCTTCACTCAGGTTGAATATTACTGACCTTCCAGCAAACCGATCTCAACCCATCTTGACATAACTTGTCACCGTCCTTGCTCTTCAATTCCTGCTTAAGCTCGGCTAACGAGGATCTGCCGCTGAAGAGCGAATGCCAACGCTTCCTTCGAAATGTATTAGCAGCGAGAAAAATAATAATAAAGGGGAAACATAGACAATACCGAGCTTCCTCCACAGTTTTCATGGCATCGTCGGACTATGGTTTTATATTTCTGCTTCCTTCTTTGACCTTGCTGTTTAGTAGTGACGTTGAGGTGGTGCGAGTTCTTAGCGGCTTCTCGAGAGCTGATCCCGGAAGCCTTTTTAGCTTCACGAGTTCCTCTAATGGTTGATGGCTAAATCAGCCAATCATGGTTCACCTAAAGAACCGTACTCACCTAACGAACCGTACTTTCAAGTTAAGTATTGGGAGAGAATGTATTGGATTGAATACGCCGCATAGAGTCGAATATTGGCAGCGTTTAGCTTTCGGCGTTGATGATTATATAAGCGGTTTCTTGCGATCACATCAGGGATCGGTCTTGGCATTGTGTCACTCACCTCAATCAACATCCCCAACTACCTGGGGAAACTCTATCTTCACAGAACAACTTTGACAAAACGGGAACTTTTAAGTAGGATCCTAGGTGAATATCTTGCGCGCATAATTAGTGCGAGACTATTTAAGGGTGCAGATTACCATCGTGATGAGGGGGGCGCTGGCTTCGAATAGCTCTCTCGACGGGATCGCGGAAAAGTCGAAGCTTGATATCTACTTCGACTACTCCGTATTTATGAATAACTGCCATGTCTGCCGATCTTCTGGCAGCTTTCGGTGAACCGAATGTTACCGCACAGTCGGACCAGTCATCCCAGCAGCCGCGTCGTGAGAACGATCGAGCCTCGCGTTTCTTTGATTCAGACGACACTCGAGGAGCCTGGGGTTCATTCTTATCCACCTCACGAGAAGCCCGCACCGCAAGCAAAAACAATAGTGAACGGAATTCCAGATCCCACACGCCTGTACCAGAGGTAAAACCAGCTCAGATAGCGTCTACCTCTTCAAGCAAAGGTCTCTGGCGAGAGGAAGGCGGCACGGACGTATTATTTGATGCGTTTACGGAAGATGTGACAAATGACGATGATACGGATGATTGGGGAGAGTTTGAAACAGCAAATCCACCTGAGGGAAACACTAACAACGGCAATGCTGGTGATTTACTTGACTGGGATACTGGCAACAATACTGCCTCGAATACCGCTTTACCAGCGATAGAAGCCACAACTGAACAATTTCAGCAGCAGTCGTTGCTTGATTTATTCCCCTCTAATGCTAGGACAGATGACAAAAAAGCAACCGAGGTGGTAGCGCCTGATATCAGTCCCTGGGACAAGGGCTGGACAAAGTTCGAAGAAAGTATTTGTAGTAACGTCGTTCCGTCAAAACCTGAACAATCGGACGATGATGACTGGGGAGATTTCAAAGACCCTGCTCTGACCGAAGATGCAATTCCTACAACCAGTATGGAACCATCAAGACCCATCGCCCGACCGACTGAGGTGATGAAACCAGATGCAAAAGAACCAATATCTACACAAATCCCAATACCATCCACCGCGCCAACGAAATCTACTACTTTCCAACATCGCCCAATGAATATCCCCCCGCCATCAATTGTTCTGCCTCTATTTCCCCCGCTCCTAGAAGAATATTATCAAAAAGTCGTCAAGTGCAAGAAAACGGAGACGAAAGACACGAAGCTAGCTTCTTCCCTCGAGCTCGATTTGAAGGTCATGGCACGCATCCTAGCGGGGCGTACACTTCGTTGGAAACGAGACACCGTGTTAAGTCAGAGCATGAAGATTGGCCCCGCCTCCGTAAAGGCCGGGGGGATGAAGCTCAATAGCGTGAATAAAAGCGAAAACGTGAAAGAAGAGAAAGAGGCCGTCGAGGTCCTTGAAGTGTGGCGCAAACGAAGTAGTTACTTGAACTCGTTCATTTTGTCCGCTGGTGGGCGTGCGGTGCCTGTTTTACCAAATAACGTGCAAGTGAAGACGGGAACGGTTGAAGAGGACGGGGCTTTCAAGGCATCGCATCCGTGTGGACTATGTGGGTTGAAGCGGGATGAGAGGATTCCTAAAATTGATGGGATTGTTCACGACAATTTCGGAGAGTGGTGGATCGAGCTCTGGGGGCATACGGATTGCAGAAACTTCTGGGAGGCTAATTGTGACAGGCTACATCAACGTTGAGCGAATTTGTGTCGTCAATATAACGAGGGGGGGCGAAGGGGGAGAGAAGGGGGGTGGTTCTAAGGCTATGCTGCTTGCCTTTTTCTGGTCGAGTTAAACCTATGCACGACCTTGGATACCAATGGTTAATTTGCTTTTTGCCAATGCAAAAAAAGCAGCAGCGTTGGGCATTATTATCTACCAGACCTGGCTCTTGAACTATTTCAGTTGAGTGAGAATGTTTAATATATTAAGAAGATATTTAATAATAAGACCTTTGGTTCTTGATTTTTGGGATGAATTCGAGACTGCAAAAATAATTACCAAAATCGGGCGACAATTCAGGGGTAGGGTCCCGCTGCTGTTGATGATGATGTCATATCTATCATAAGCGGTCGGTCTAAACAGCCAGCCGAAAGGCTCAGAAAACATCATACTGTAAATCTAAGGGGATACTTTAATATAGTTATATATTCTAGAGTGCACTCCGTAGTCCCTAAATAGCTGGTAAGAGTGCCTGCATATGTAGTTTGTTCGTTTTGTACATTTACAGATTGCAATTTACATTTCGTCATTTTGAGGCTTTGCTCTTGCTCCGGCGCATAGTTAGGTAACGTTAAGTACGGAACAACATTCCTCCCCCAGCCAGCAGCGGTAACTAACTTATTATAATTCTTGTTGCCAACTTCCGCTGGACGGGCGGTGATCCAGTGATCCAGTGACCGCTGCTTAATAAAACACGCCCGGTGTCCAAACGATCCGTTACATCCCCCCCATACATCTCATCTATCCTATCCTATCATGGACTGTGTGACCAGCTGCAGCGTGAATTACTTGGTCAACCCCAATCAACAAGCGGACTTTTTCAACGCTACATAGCCTACGATCCCTTGCCACGACGACGCTAGTCGTTAGCAGTTAGTTAGTTGGTTGGTTCGTTCCAGCGCCGTTCCCCCCCCATCCCCATCCCCATGGGTCGTTATCATTATCGCTTCCTCCTGCGGCTCCTGCTGCCTCCTCTCTCCCTCCTTGCCCTGATCCCTCAGCAACTCACATTCTGTTTTCTCCTTACCTGCTGGATTTTTGGTCAAAATCGGGAAATTAACGAAAAGTGGCCCGTAGTATCTATCTAGCTATCTTATCTATCGATCTATCCACCCATCTTCTACTAAACCGGCCAGTTTCCTCCAAGTTTCCAGCGCTTCTTCTGTCCGTCGATCAAGCAGGCTCAGACTTCAGCATACCTCGACATATCCCTCAAAACCATACCGGCAGCACAAGTCGTTTTTTGCCTCAGCTACCTTATTTATCCGTAGCAAGAGGGCCGCCGCCTCTGTGTCTTGCTGTGAAAGCGAACTGCTATCTACAGTACCCGGGCAGCCCCAGAGCTTCTCTTTGACTGCCTCTGGTAGGGACAAGAACTGGCAACCTCTGTGGCAAGACCTACTCTTCATACCGAGCGATAGTAGCCGGGAGCATTTTCCTTCGACAGGGAAACCCGCAGGGAACGGCAGCTAGAGCTAAATCTTCGTGTGCTGTGACGAGACTTAAATTCCCAGAGCGCTCCTCTCATACACCATCATTGTCATCATCTCATCCTCACAGATCATCCACCAAAGAGCTAGACCTCTGTACAAGAAACTATTTTAATACTTGTCATCTTCACTTACTTTGAACGAGAACTCAGCTGCTTTTTCCTAATTGCAGCTTGTTTCTTCTACTTGATAAGAAACTTACATCCAGGCTACCTCAGCTCCTCCTCGAGAATTTAACAGTATTATCGAGAAAACTACTACTTTGTTTTCTCGTGACAACTGACGTGGAGCCTGTCACTGGTTTTGTGCAGGCGAACAGTGGCGGCTGCCCTTCGCGATGGGTCTTTCATACAACATCTACCTCTCTTCTAATAAGATCTTCGGATGCAAGACCTGCAAAACCCACTTGGCCGATTATCACGATATCATCAGCCGAGTTAGTAGCACCTTGTCCCTCCCTTGTCCTCAGCCATACCTGCCTCTCTAGCTGTCTCTCATTCTCCATAAAATAATCCCCCCTCTTACCCCTCCTATCCTTCTTATTCTTTCGTAGCACTCAACAGAGACTAACATGACAACTCCAAAAATAGAATTTCCGTGGCCAACATGGCAAAGCCTTCCTCTTCAATAGCGTTGTCAACATAACCCAAGCCGAAGCTGTAGAGCGCAGCATGACGACTGGCCGACATGTTGTTCGAGACATTATGTGCCGGCAGTGCAAAGAGACAGTCGGGTGGAAGTACGACAAGGCATACGAAACCGCCGAGAAATACAAAGAAGGCAAATTCATCCTAGAAGCGGAGCTACTGTGTATGGTGTACTAGAATCGTTTTTGACTCGGACTTGAACTTTCCTTTCATTTCAACTTTTTTTTCTTCCCAAGGGACCATTTAGCCTCGATTACCATGGTGGTACGGAACAGTCGATCGGGCCGTACTTGTATGCGTGGTTTTCAGAACCAGCCCTTGATGCACGATCGGGACCTTAGAGAGAACAACATACCAACATATCATCATCGGGCACGGCGAAAGAGGTATTGCATTGTTGGATTGGATTTGGCTTTGATTTTTATTTGGGCGTTTCCCTCTATTTTTCTCCTGATTTGTCGAGACTTTTGTCATTCTTAATTACGTGCTTTTTCTTTTTCTTTCTTTCTTTCTCTTTTTTTTTCTTTTTTTTTCTTTTTTTTCTATTAGCAAGCCTGTAAAATGGCGTTGCAATTGGAGTCTGGGTTTCGGGAGTTTTCTATTTTATTAATCTCAACCGGGGATGGTGGAATTCGCGCAGGATTCTTTTTGTTATCTGTTTTCGCCGTGACTGGAACCGCTCCTCTGTTTTCCCTTCAAACGCTCAGCTCAGATATTAAGGATTTATTCTCATGTCTACCTCTCCCTTCTCAGCTTCGCTCTGGTCTGACTCCCAAATGCTCTTTGAAGTGTGTAAAGAAGAAAGGAGATTTGAAATTATTTTATTTATTTATTTATTAATATATTTACCTAAATCTGACCCACCCTGCATTTTTACAAAATTCTACTTTTTGGGACGCGATCAGCTCCTCCAGCATGAGAAGTACTATCGAACCGCTATTGGTACGCGGATTATGAAATAGTCAATTCCCCTCCCCTATCTTTTTCTCTCCAGCTTCGAATGGCTGCTTAATAGTTTTCGTGGAGAGCCTCATTCTTTATGTTTTAGTTGATTGTTATCGCGTTAGATTGTGTATGGCATGCCCCCGGCGCCTAAGGGGGGGCATACCCCACAACAACGAAACCACCTCCACCTCCGGCTTCTAAATTTTATTTACTATGTATTTCTCTATTGATATTTTTTGGCTCAGTTGGCTTGCTCGCGTGGGTTGACAATAATAATGTCCCTTTTTAACAGGAGGTTGCTATGGAGGCAGCATTAGCGGGAACGAAAAGAAAAAAAAGACCCTGGACACCGAGCTGCAGAGTTTCCCCTTCCCCGCACTTAACTATAACGGGGTGGTTTAGTTCACTAATAACTTACCGGCTCTGCCGCCTGCGACACTCACTCTGTGCTTCGATTTTGGTTGTTGGCTTGGGGGGGGTCTATTATTATCTCTCCATGGATGCCACCATTTATGTTTCAAAGTGGACGGGAAGAGGATAACTGGACGATGGCTCCTCGAATCCTCTCCCTCCCTCCCGTTCAAGTTGGGAACAAACCGCCATCGGCTTCTGTGATTGTGAGCCGAGGCGAAGCTGAACAACCTCTATGGTTAACTAGTTAAATAACAACACAGAGAAGCCCACAGCGGGGCAGTATCTTTTTCGTTTTCTGCTCTGCTTGATATACGCAGCGTATGTAGTCTGTTAAAATGCGCTTGCGGAGGACCCGGCAATTATCGCTGTGATACTGTACGGAGTAACTACTGTATAACTTATATAGTTAACTTCTGTACGCAGCAAAGGGCCAAACCAGACTACTCGACGGCGCATCCATCCTATTACACAGCTTGATCCACGTCGCATCGCACCCAATTTACAAAATAAAATCACTTTCAAAGGGCATAAGAACGAAATATATCGAAATATACTCTTCCCTCCCGAGGGCCGTTACGGGTTTTTCCTTCCAGCCACGGATCTCGCCTTGAAATCTCCGCTAAATACCCAACCACCCTTTTGCTTCGTCTTCCTTTCTCTCCTTCTATATAAAAAAATATCCTCAGTCAAAAAGGTTCCAGGCCCAAAAAAAAAAAAAAAAAAAAAAAAAAAAAAATTCTCACCATGGCTACAAAGGAAACCATGCGCGCGGTCGTCTTTAAGGGACCCTACAAGATTGCCGTGGAGGAACGGCCGGTGCCTAAGATCCAGTCACCGACAGATATCATTGTTAAAGTTAAATATGCGGCGCTCTGCGGGAGGTATGTATCCCTTTTTTTTTCTTGTAAGTCTCCCCTTTCTTTTCTTTATGTGGCTTTGCTTGTATGGTAGTTTATTACTATGGCATTTTGGCGACATGGCCTTCTTCAAGCAGAGATTCAAGCAGAGAGGCATCACTACTTTCGAAACACCCCCCTTTTTTTGTATTGTGCGGTTCATTTTCTCTTTCTGCTTCCAATGTTTCTTCTGTTTTTTGCTAATTCAACCCAGCGAACTCCATGTTTTCCGCGGTCATCAGCCGTCCGGCACTGGGTTTATCATGGGCCATGAGTTCATGGGCGAAATTGTCCAAGTCGGTAGCTTAGTTAAGTCGGTGAACGTGGGAGATAAGATTGTCTGCCCATTTACTACCAGCTGGTATGTCTATGTCCTTACCCCAAAATTTCGCTATTGAAAGGAGGAGGCATAACACCATGCGCGAGAAACGATCGGGGGTAGGTAGGGGATGGTTTCTTCTTTTTTGCTCGTTTTTACTGACTAGGAATGAAATTGAAAAACGAAACAGCTTAGAATGCTTCTACTGCAAAAATGGCTTTTCGTCTCGGTGTGCAAAATCGCTGCTGTTCGGCAGCGCTGTGCTTGATGGGTCCCAGGCAGAATATGTAAGTCCTGCTTCGATTGATGACTCGGGTCAAGTAACTGGCGGTGGGGAAAAGGGCGCAAATTTGCTGATGCAATGACACGTTTTTTTCATGTAGGTCCGCGTCCCTTATGCTGATGGGACTGTCATGAAAGCCACGGAGGGAATCCAGGACCACGCCCTCGTCCTTATGGCGGATATCTTCCCAACGGGATACTTTGCAGCCAGCAACGGACTCCAGCAGTTCACCAAGGAGCAACTTTCCGAGATGACCGTCGTAGTGATTGGTTGCGGGCCGGTGGGACTCTGCGCAATCATCAACGCAGAGGACTACAAGCCCAAACACCTCCTAGCAGTTGACTCTGTACCAGCGCGGCTCGAGCTTGCCAAGTCGCTGGGCGCGGAACCGTGGAATTTCCAAACGGACCCCGAGGGACTGGATAAGCGTGTCAAGGAGCTGACTGATGGCAGAGGCGCTGATGTGGTGATTGAGGTGGTTGGGCTGAGTCCTGCTCTGAAGATGGCATTTGAACTTTTGAGGCCATGGGGCACGATTAGTAGTGTGGGCGTTCACAATGGGCAGGTAAGATGGAAAATAGAATCTGCGCAATCTCTCTCCATTATGTTTTCCCAGTGATAAAAAGTGATTCTAACACGGAGAATGACCCAATAGATCCCCTGGACGGGCAATCAGGCTTACGGAAAGAACCTGAAGATTCAGATGGGAAGATGTCCCGTGCGGTCCATATTTCCGCAGGCTATTGATATACTCAAGAAGAAGCAGCATCTGCTCGGGTAAGAAGGCCCTCTCTCCCCCCTCCCTCTCCCCCTACCTTTTTTTTTTTTTTTCCATCGCGGCGCGATACTCACAGAATCGATGTGCAGATTCATGGCGGATAAGATCATGCCACTGAGCGAGGCGGAGGAGGGATATAGCATTTTTGATAAAATGCAGGTGCAGAAGGTTATCTTTGAGGGAGATAAATAAAGGTAAACTGAAGGCACAGGGAAGAAGCTGCTTCACTACCTCGTTGCTTCGGTGTCTTCGTTGAGTCGCTCGATCTCAACAGGATATGTTCCTGACATACGGGCCTGGCTGTAAAACATAAATAAATAGTCTATATTTTTTTAGTTCCTTGCGAACACGGTTCCCAGAATGAATATTCAACGAATCAGTTTTGTGCTGCCCCGTCTTTGTTTTTATTCTCCCCGTAACATTGGTAGAGCAGATACCGACCGATATACGGAGCAGACACCAGTCTGAACCCTCATGTAGAAAGGCATTGCCTGTTTCTTTTCGGGATTTAGAGGATTCAGTTGGATTGGCAGTGGATAATTCTGCAAGGTTACAACTTGCATTCAGTTGTAAGAGGTTTTTTAACGGTATTCTGAGATGATTTAGATATTTTGAGCGCGCTGTTTGACCTTGAATTCGAGCAGAAAGCTACCACAAAAATAAGTCATACTACAACCGCAATATCCTATGAACTAAAGTCTCCCTATCTTTTTTCTAACAGAGATCTAAGAGTTGATGCGTCCAGTAGAAAGCTGGTATGGGGCAGGCAAATATGAACTTTTTATATAGGCTTTTTTTTGGTGGTGAAGTTTTCTCGCTTCGCCGAAAAATTCACAAGGGGGGCGGGTGGCTTGGGGGAACAACGGGAAATAAATATTCAACCAACACTCACTGCCAGCGAGTCAGCGACTGCCTGACTAAGTCCTCCACCACCACCAACGCACGCCTGCCCCCAATCCACATCACAGTCGTCGTCCATCTTCCTCCATCCACCCTCCATCCTCCAACCTCACCTCACCTCACCTCACCTCTCAACTTTCCCGCTCCTCTCTCTCGCCCTCCATCTCCCCCCCATCCCCCCATCATCCTCTCCCCTTCTCCCATCCTCCTCCTCCTGTTCTCTCCCGCCTACCTCACCTCTCGCCTCCTCCGTCAACCTCTTCACCCGTCGCGAGCTACCACCTCCACCCATCTCTCTCACCGACTCGACTTCCGCGTTCCACCCTCCACCCTCTGCGCTCCGCGCTCCGCTCTCCGCACTCCGCCATCGTCACTTTCACCCTCTACCTCGCCGAATCCGCGTCGTATTCCACCTCACTTCCTCACCTTTCCGCTTGTTTTCTTTGGCGTGCGACCTACCTTTGTTCCTGCTTACCTCTTTGAGTAGGTCGCTCTTCTATTTCTATTTTAACTTTCTTTGACAAACGGCCTTCTATATAAACATCGCTCCTGACTACTCTCTCGGTCTGGATAGTTGCGTTTAGATCCTCCTAACGAACAGAAAGCAATTTCTGCCTCTACGATCGGGATCAAAAGTTATTCGCCTTCGCAAAAAAAAGGAAAAAATTGCGTTGAAAATATCTCCCCACACCGCCATCAATTATATCCCTCCTCACTCCAATCCCATCCTAGCTTCTTTTTAGCATTTTCAAAATGGCAAACAACGAATCTCGTGACGCCGCCCCGGCTGTGGTCGATGAAGTAATGACAGACTATAGCCGCAACGATCAGGGCGAAGCTGACGGCCCCCCTAAGACTGAAGAGGAATACGCTCAGTCTACACTGACCCTTCGCGCCATTGTTTCTTCAAAGGAAGCTGGTGTGATTATTGGCAAAGCTGGCAAGAACGTGGCAGACCTGCGTGACGAAACTGGTGTAAAAGCTGGCGTGAGCAAGGTCGTACAAGGTGTCCATGATCGAGTTTTAACCGTCACTGGTCCTCTTCAAGGTACCGCTAAAGCCTATGCCATAGTCGCCAAGGGTTTGCTTGAAGGTGCTCCTCAGCTTGGAATGGGTGGTGTGGTTTCGAATACCGGTACCCATCGTAAGTGTCTCTGCCCGTTGATGGATTCGTTTCTATTTGCCACTCGAATTATCCTCGATGACTGCCTCCAACATAAGATGCGAGTGCATATTATTGTTTTTACTTTTTCTACTATGATTATTTATATTCAGCTACTGACTTCTTCCAGCTGTTCGCCTTCTTATATCTCACAATCAAATGGGCACAATCATTGGCCGCCAGGGCTTGAAGATCAAGTATATCCAAGACGCTTCTGGAGTCAGGATGGTCGCACAGAAGGAGATGCTCCCACAGTCAACTGAACGGATCGTTGAAGTTCAAGGCACACCCGAAGGAATCGAGAAAGCCGTGTGGGAAATCGGCAAATGTCTTATAGATGACTGGCAACGCGGGACTGGGACTGTTCTCTACAACCCCGCTGTTCGCGCATCCGTTGGCGGAGGCCCCATGAATAATTCGCTCGGATCTGGAACCGCTGCAGGCGGTTACGGTGGACGCTCTTACAACCGTACTGGAAATGGTGCTGATTTTAGCGACCAAACCGGTGGCTATAACCGACGCTCGAACTCCGATGCAGCCAACCGCGGCATCCCGCTTGTAACTGAAGACGGAGAGGAGGTCCAAACACAGAATATCAGCATTCCTTCCGACATGGTTGGCTGCATTATTGGCCGAGGTGGAAGTAAAATCAGCGAGATTCGAAGGAGCTCCGGTGCCCGTATTTCCATCGCCAAAGCCCCACACGACGAGACTGGTGAACGTATGTTTACAATCATGGGCAGCGCAGCAGCTAACGAAAAAGCCCTCTACCTCTTGTACGAGAACCTGGAAGCCGAGAAAATGCGCCGCAGCCAGCAACCGCAGGAGTGAAGCAGCCCCACTTCGCCCGAGTAGGGTTCATGGTAGCAGTGCGTCCAGATGTTGCGTGACAGTGCGGGTGTCTTTATACTGTCGAGGCAGACTGTGGATTACATTAGGCAATCATCAGTGTCGCTATTCCCCTAAGTCTCAAACCCACAGATCCGCCAAACCTCCGGTTTCTTTTAGTCATTATATCCCGTACCCGATACCCAAACGATTCTCCCTTGCTCAACAGTGGTGTTGTCATGGTATAACGAACTGGACTTCTTGGGCCTATCGACCTCGACCGTCACAGACCGCTCCGCTTCAGTACTCCTGAACTCTCCAAGATCTTCATTTCCCGCCCCGTTTCTCGCAATGTACTGGATTATTCTTCTTAATCTTACCTACTCTTACCAGTCTCTCTTATCCATGTTTCCCCCTTGAACTCTTATTTTCCGTGCGCCTTAACTCCAAGTTTCATTAAAATCCGTACCTTTTATCCTTCTTCCCCGCTTAAAAGTCGCGTCAATTGTTTACGTCACATCAACGATGAATCCCGAATCACACAAATACCAATCCTTCAAAAACACTCATGTCTCCATTGAAAACTTATTTTTCTCCCTCGATTCTTCTCCGTTTCTTCCATCATGCCATTCATGTATTCCTTTTTACCGCCTTCGTCCTTGTTCTCGTCCCTCCCAAATGGCATTCTATTCATCCGCAAGAAAAGAAAAAAAAATCTCACACGCGCAAAACTGAAAGCTCCCCATGATTCTACGCTACGTATACATGGCTAATGTCCCTTTCCATGTGCAATCCGCTTTTGTTCTTCAGTATATCAACTTGAGAGACAACTCTGCCAAATTGAACCACACACGCAGCAGCTGCACGCAACATTGTTAAAGGTGGACAGATAAATGGACCTTTGAGGACGTCCTCCCGCTCTCTCTTTCCTATCTATCAATTTGTGTCTTGACGAAAGAGAGAGGAGCCGCGAGCAAATTAAAAAATGAGATTTGATGTCTTCATTATAATAATATAAAAAAAGTAGCCAAAAAAACTAAGAATTAAAAACATTATCTATCAAAAACTGATGCCTTCTCATTCTGTGTCCATCATCTAAGATTACTTGAAATGTGAAAACCAAACTGATGAACAATTTCCTAGAAATTCTTTCATTACTGATAAGTAAAAGAAGGTGCACTGTTCATTTCATTCAGACCAAGATGAATGCACACAACTTTAGACACTCAGCATCCTGTATCACTGCAAAAACATTCTTAACAGAGGCAGGTTACATATTTTATCTAACTTTCTCAATATCAAAATTTCTAAAGCTAAACATTGGGTCACATTACCTTGCTAAGGAGTCGAACCTCCCCATTATTGAATCTTCACCACTTGTCACACTCAGACACACTTGAAACCACCACAGCTGCGTGTGAACGAAACGGGATTCTTGGTGTGTGGAGAACATGGTCCAAGGACTTTCACAGCATCTCAGTGTTATGAATACAGGGAGCCCAGACAAATGAATGAACCCAATGCAGCACTCTGGCATTCCCTCATCTTCAAAAACAAAGGGCAGATAACCCAACTGATGGGGAAATTTTTCCTCTCTGAGTAACAGCCAGAGAGCAATGTTGATTTCCAGCGTACTTTGCGATGGGGGTACCACTTCAAAAGGCTGCGTGCCTGCTCAACTGTCAGCAACTATGAGCAACTGTACAATTCGAAATGGATTCCCATATGGGCTCCCAACGTACCTACGCTGTCTCTCTCTCTCTCACTCACTCACTCACTCTCTCTTGCTCGCTCTCTCCCACTTGCCTCGTCAAATGAAATACATGAACCATCCCTACATCCTCACGCGGGAGCCCCCAAGAACCACACCTTCCTCCAACAACGACATTCCCCCTCACGCCTGTCATCCTTCTGCTCAGAGGAGCCGCGAGCGCCTTTGCCTTACCTACTGAGCCTCAGTGTGCTAAAATATGCAAGGCATGCTTTTCCTCTGCCCGATGGGGCGGGATACTTAGGGAATTGGGTGAAGGCATGAAAAAGCGTTGGCGGATACTTTAAGAGAGTTCGCAGGGCGTAGTTATTTCATATATCCGTTCTAGCCGGGGGGGAATTGGAGATGGCTCCATGTTGCTTCAACCAATCTGAGCTAGGCACGCGGGGGCTTTTGTGATTGGTGGGGGGGATGGATGATTTGGGCGTCTATTTGGCAGTTAAACGGACATCATCAAGAGGGCGGAATATCTGATCCGGTTTGATCACGAAGAGAGGGTTTTATTTCTCTTTTGCAGAAGTCGGGTCGGAAATAGGAGATCATAGAGAAGTTTCAGTTGGGAGTTAACCCCGACCGCGAGCGCTTGATACAATCCATCACTTCGTATCCGTGAATTGCTCATGGCCCCGTTTATTCTGTAACTACTCCGCATGTTGCTGTCATCACCTTGGAAGCATCTTGCAAAAGGCTAAATAAAAGTCATTAGCGCGGGGGTACACAGAACAAGCGGAATGGATTCCTGGGACATTAATTGCGGATGACGAAATCTGCCTGACTAGTTATATAATAATAAACAATCGATATGTAATGCAATATATAAACCAGTTATCCTCCTTTGAATAAGTCCCTCCAAGTTCCTTTCCTTGCTCTCGAAAATATAAACAAAGGAAATATCTATCTAATTAGGGTTTCCAGTGACCTAACCCTAATTCACTCCAACATCACATCGCAACCCCGCAACGCCATCGAAGACTGATAAGAGACACCAGCAAACTACCTGTCTGTCCAAAATGACACGAATCCTCCTCACAGGTATAGTGATAGTAGCTTTCCCTCCTCCCCAAGAACATAATTTGGAAAATTGACCAAAAAAAACCAAACTGACAAGTTTCATACGTGGCAGGCGGAAGCGGTTTCATCGCTGCTCATGTCCTTGACACTCTGCTCCAGCGCGGCCACTCGGTGGTGACAACCGTACGCTCGGAAGAAAAGGCTCGTAAAATCAGAAATTTACATCCAAATGTTCCCAAGGATAAACTGGATTTTGCAATTGTGGAAGACATCGCGAAACTTGATGGTATGCACTGCACTGCCGCGGGCAAGAGTTTTGCTAACCTAAGCGCAATCTCCTATAACCCCAGTTCATTTATCTCTGGATACTACCCAACAGCACGCATAGCTATATTCTGGACTATTTGCGGCGACTTGGCTAACTGATATTTTGCTAATTGAATAATACAGCATTTGACAAGGCTGTGATTTCGGACCCGCCCTTTGAGACTGTTATTCACACAGCTAGTCCGTTCCACTTTAGAGCAAGTGACAATAAAGCCGAACTTCTCGATCCGGGTATGTAACGTCATATATACAGACAAAGAAATAATTTTGTCTTTGACTGCAGATATATAATTGCATATTGACTAAACCGGATTCCGCTGACATTGATTTTCTACACAACTACGCAGCTATCAATGGCACTGTTGGAATCCTCCGTGCCATCAAGCGAAGTGCGCCAACGGTCAAGCATGTAGTTATTACATCTTCCTTTGCTTCCATCATTGACGCCAATAAGCCTCCTACCTACACATATTCGGAGGTATATATATATAGCTTGCTATTGGTGTTCTCTCCGCTCCCTTGGTTGAATATGCCCTGACATTTTAATAGGACGATTGGAATCCTATCACGGAGGCAGAAGCGCTTCTTAGCCCTATCCATGGTTATCGGGCAAGCAAAGCATTCGCTGTACGTCATGATAAAACCCCCGTTCAATCGGTGGCAATAGAAAAATAAAGATAAGAAACAGGAAAGACTAACTTAAGAATTATAGGAAAAAGCCGCCTGGGAATTTGTGGAAAAGGAGAAACCAACCTTCACCATCGCAACGGTATGCAAAACGGCCCCTTTGTTGCATGTGAAATCTACACCCTTTTGCTTCTATCAATTACCCGTTTACCACAGTTATAAAATTCCCCAATTGAACCGACCAACCAACCAACCACTTACCCTGGCACAGATAAACCCCCCCGTCGTCCTCGGCCCCGTCGTCCACCCTCTGGACTCCCTCGCTGCGATCAACACTTCCAATGAACGCATCCGCGACCTGATCACAGGGACTGCGAAGAACTCATGTCCACCAACCGGCACCTACCTCTGGGTCGACGTCCGCGACGTGGCTCTCGCGCACGTCCTCGCTGCCGAAAAACAGAAAGAAGCCGCCAGCCAGCGCTTCTTCGTCACAGCGGGCAACTTTTGCAACCGGCAAATTGTCGAGATCATCTCTGAAGAATTTCCAGAGTTAAGGGAGAAGTTGCCGGTGGGAGATGCGTTGAAGCCTGGTGAGTTCCCAGCCGAGGGATATTTTGGGTATAATAATGCGAAGTCAAGAGAGGTGTTGGGGTTGGAGTATCGACCGTTGAGAGAGAGCGTGGTTGATACGGCGAAGAGCCTTTTGGCGATTCAGGGGTAGGGGCGTAACGGGATTGTTTCCGTGTTTTATGCAAATCTTGCAGCAGAAGGTCATGTGGTGTTTGGCATTGTCAAAGGGGTAAAATCCCTCCCAAGTAGTGAAAACTATCCTCGATAGATAGAATGATCCAGATCTCGCCCCTTCTTCAAAGGGGTGATATAAATGCATCTTGTTACAACTTCTGTTGCCCAGAATTTTGCACACTCTTATGTTGGAACATCTGATATATTATATTCGATTTTCGTCGAGCGATACACCATAGTTAGTGGAGGTTCTTTTCTAGAACGACTTTGTCTTCTAATTGTACATGTACAGCGTACTTGTATTAATAATTTGTTGTTACTGCTGTAGTTGCGGTACGTACTAGAGAACAAGCTAGCAAGAAGCAAATGAAGATTAGAACAGAGTAATTCCGCGCCGAAGCCCAGCCCAGCCTAGTAGCGAACTTTAACGCGCGGGCTGCATGGAACTAGAACCCCCCCCCCCCCTGTAAGATATACGCTGCGTAGATAGGGTAGTTCCACTCCAGAACATTTGACACAAAGATACCTGGTAACTAGAGTGTCTGAAGGCGACTTAGTCTGTCGATTCCTGTGGGGGAAAGTAAATAGCCTCATCATCGCTCGGATTTATAGCTGGAAAATCCCTTGCATGATTCGAGCTTTGAAATCATGACACTTGGAAGCAATGCCAGCTAACGGAATGAGCTTCAGATTTGATCCGTGGATGGGGCATGTCCCCTCCCCGTCAGGAGTTGAGGAAAGTCGTATTTTTGCTTTCCTCGCCAGCGGCAAAGCCCATCTTGCGCCATGTGTCTCACTGCGCAGAGAGATAATGGAGAACGGAGTGACATGAGGGTAGTCACGCAAGGGCGTAAGGCGTGTCTCACCTCCGAACGAGAAGATGCTGAATATATTGCTCATTGCCATTCAGGATGGAATTCTAGCCGCGCTCAATTTCCCCAGATGCCCACCGCCATCCATTTTCTGGTAGATCTATGATAAGCGGATAAAACCATTTCCTAATATTTAGGAACTGGAATATTTAGGAACTGGAATATTTAGGAACTGGCCGCGATCCTTCTGGTCCTTAGAGAACATCTTGATGAGGGATTCTTTATGCATACAGATATTATATTTGTCGTTTAGTTCCTGCACGCAGTTGACTCGTTATTACATTTCATTGTGTGTTTTTTTTTTTTTTTTTTTTTTTTTTTTTTTTTTTTTTTTTAGAAAGTTATACATTTATATTTCTGGTTACTGTGCAATAGAATTTTATGATTTACTCACTTTCCTTTTAATATTTTCCGTGCATGTTGAAATGTTGAATGTCGCGTAAACGCGGGTATCTAGTTTAAATTAAGTATAGGGCCTGAGCAATATGGGAAAAGCCATTCGTTCCAAGGCTCCCGAGCTTGCTGCAAGTGGTTGGGCCATTCTTGTTGCTGTCGAAGATCCTGAAAGAGTCCAGGCATATTATATAATTACTTTCCTTCGGAACTGCCCCGATAACCGCATGCGGCGAAGCATCTCTCTAATAATCGTGTTATTATAATAATATGCATTCCAATGGCTGGAAAGGCCAAAGGTGGAGTGGAGTGATCGAGGTGGTTTTGTGGCGTCATCAACCTGCATGATGGAACTAGGAAGAGGGGAAATAAAAAAGGAGAAAAGAGAAAAGAGAAAACAACACAAAAAATGGGAGAACATGGGGGAATTTACCATGAGGATGAGGAACACAAACCTGCAACAGGCCGGGATTGTGAATCGTATTTGATGGTACTCCGTTTCCGCCCTCTTTTAGTATATTTATAAATATTGTCTCCTAACAACAACCAACTTTGGTTCCCTGATAGTAGTAACACGACAACATTGGTTTACCTCCAACCTCAACTCCAACGCTCAGTCCGTCAATCCCCAATCCCACGCTGCACTTAAAGCTACGATGGACCCGATCAGCTACTTGATTGTAGGCGCCGGGTGTTTCGGTGCTTCCACTGCCCTTGCGCTCAAGAAAGCGAAACCGAACGCAATTGTCACATTGGTCGACCGCACCCCTTTTCCTTGCCCCTCTGCTGCAGCTCACGACTTGAACAAAATCATCCGAGCCGAATATGAAGATCCTATGTACATGCGTCTCGCTCTGGAGGCGCAGGAGCAGTGGCGCACCGACTCTGTGCTGAAATCATACTTCCATAAGACGGGTATCCTGTTTATTGGCATTGAGGCCCCTGGCAAAGCTGTCGTGAATTCCTACGAGCAGGTGCTTGGCAAAGGTAACTCTCCTGCAGTTCTCTTGGATCCGGAGGATGCCAAAGCTCGATTTGGCGGAATCTTTCGTGACGGCGATTGGACCGGAGTTACCAAGTGTACTTGGAATCCCCTGGCAGGGTGGGGTGATGCTGCAAATGCCCTGGGCGCTGTCATCCAGTCCGCGGTTGATATTGGGGTCAAATACATCCAAGCGACTGCTACGAAAGTCCAGTTTGACTCGAGCGGCAACTGTTCTGGAATTAGCACCCTGGAGGGCTCCCAGCTGTCTTCTGATAAGGTCCTTCTCTGCACCGGAGCTTACACCCCCTGGCTCCTGGCTGAAAGCGCCCCAGATCGTCCAGAGATTCAAGTCGGTGATCGAATGGTGGCGGCTGCCTCCATTATGTGTGCTTTTAATCTCCCCGAGGATCAAGTAGAGAAATTTAGCGATTGTCCCATTGTCGTGCACCCAATGGGTGAATATCCAGGTAGCCCGCTCCTGGATCCCCGTATTCAAAGATGACTCAACTAATATATTAAACGTACCAGCCGAATGCATTCCACAAAGTGGGCCAGGCTTCGTCAAATGCACAAACGAGCGGAGTTTCACCCATAAAGTTCTCCACGAAGCCTCTAAGCAGGACATTTCCGTACCACCCTCCCGTGTCACGCAGCAAACATGGTCGCAAGACGTACCTCAAGGACTGAAGGATGAGGTCAAAGCAGTGCGGGATAAACTCTTTGGTAGTTGGATAAATAATATGGAACCCAAGGATTATCGGATGTGCTGGTGAGGATCAAAATTCGAAAATGCCAAACATATCACTATCCACTTGTCTAACAGAACATGCTGCAGGGATGCCATCACCCCAAATCAGGACTGGATCATTTCACCACATCCCCATGTTCAGAACTTGTATATTGTAGCCGGCGGATCTTTCCATGCGTGGAAGTTCTTGCCTAACATTGGCAAGTATGTGGTCCAGATGATCGATGACCAGCTGGGAGACGAATTCGCAAAACGATGGGCGTGGGATAGACGCGATGAGGGCGGAAACTGCTCCAATTATATACCTACAAGAGACTTGAAGGACGTGTTGGGATATTCGAACGATCAAAAGTCGGGGGATTGCTGACTAGCATCATGCATGTAATTGGCTATTTATATTAACTAGGCCAGCCTTTTTTGTCCAAGCAGAGGAAATGCTTTCCATGCCTCCCCTTCTTAATGTAGCATCGTATTTAAAGGGGAGTCAACCCAAATATCGCCTCTCATGAATTCGGGCTCTAGTTCTCAAAAAACGCCTTTGATCCCATTTTCCTTAAAATAATTCAAAATGTGTGCTTCAAAATCCTTGAGCCCGCAACAGCCCTCGTGGAATTTGAGATTCGCTTCCCTCTGTAGATGTAGAATGTTGGTTATAAGACATACATTTGTTCGTCCCAGTATCATATTCAGTGTGTAAATTTCGTCATTTAGTTTTATTTCCAAAAACGCCTTGCAGGAGTTCTCTGTTACAGCGTAAACGTGTGGTAACATGTATTGTAACTACATAGCTGGCCTTGGAATATTTAAAAAAGGAGGCTGAATATTTAACAACACCAGCTTTAAAAATTGGACGACACAACAACGCTCTGTGGTCTTTGCTAGCATCACAAGCGCCATATCAAATTCACAAGACTCAAGGATGCAAAACAATCTCATAATTAAAAAGAAAACTAATTTAAGAACGATACCAAGTCAATAACTATCGGAAACCCACTACCAAACAATATCCGTTTGCACTGTCTCATCTTCTACCTCGACAGTACTTTGGTTACAAACAGCATGATCAACAAAAGAATATCAAACAAACGAGACAAGATACTGGTCTGGAAAGATATCATTAGTTTTGAACACAAAATTTTTGACAGTCGAGAGAAATATTACAGTACTCACAAAATTCACCCAGAGGAGATGCCCACCAACCCTTTAGCATCATCCCACTCTTCTCAAACTGCAGCTTCATGATGTCAGGCCCATATTTCCAAGACTCAAAAAACTCGATAACCTCGCCTTTACCGACGTGTAGGCCGAGAGCTGGACAATCCACATCCCTAGTCGCAAGGAGACTAAATTTGTGATGTGGAGGGTCGTCCCTGATAACTCCGTTCAACACCCAATCTTCCGTCCTGTACCAAGGCTCCCCAAGAAGCTCGTTGGACTCCCTGAATCCATTGCGGATGAAGCTCTCCCAGACACCACCTTTGTCGTGGTACATCCTTTCCAGCTCCTCGCGCCCTCCTCGCGCATCCATCCCAATTAGCATCAGATCTTCAGGTCCCAGGACCTCTCGCCACGGTTGCATACGTTCCACGGCGAGATCGAAAGTGTCGTTTCCAAACATGGAACCCATTGAAAGGATGCATTTTGGCGTATTCACCGATCGAAGCCACTGGCGCCCATCTTCAAAGGTGCCCCAGAGCCCGTAGCATTGAACGTGCTGGTATTTATTGGCTAGATGCGACATGCTCCCCTCCAATGCGTCTCGACTGATGTCAAGGGCAAAGTACGAAACGGAGATCTTGAGCGACTCTAACTGTTGCAAGAGGCAAGCAGGCTTCCGGATGTCTCTGTCGCTCAGATTAATTGGTGTTCCGTTCTGTCCCTTGACAACGGGATACTATGGAGAGGTTATATGATGGCCAAGTACGTACCCAGAACCCATGTCTACAATGGTACACCCCGGAGGTATCTCTCTGCAGATGGAAGCGCCGTGGTGCTCCAAGAGACTGATCTCGTCTCGAGTTTGGTGGTAATCCGCGAGCCAGCAGACCTGGTTCCAGAGCTGGAGCCCCAATCCGAAGTAGAAAAGCTCCGTGGGAAAGGAACGTGTCGATTCTCCGTCACTCGAAATAAACTCTTCTTTCAGCTTCAACTTGAGACTGTCCCCGAGTCCGCTGCCCCCGATGTCGAGAACATCTCCTAATTTCAAGGAAGACTGCATGTTTGAAAAGATCTTTAATGGAAATGAGTGGAGATCTTGTCTTGGTTGTATATCGCAAAGATGAAGAATTTGTCCCAATATAATTATATCCTCAATGATATTGTCTGTCCATAGGAACCAAAACCCATTACCCCAGAGGCGGCGGGGACGAAGGCTTTATATGCTCTGAGAAACGGCGCCCGAAGGGCTCCATCCGCAATTCAAAACCTCAGCCATCTCAGTAAAAGATCGCGCTCTGCTCATACAGGGCTTGTTTACCCAATACTTCCAATCTCGGATCCCTCAGATCAGGGCGAGTTGCAGCAACATCACAACCACAAGATATTTGAGCGTCTGTCAAACTAAGCCTCAACTAGGGAAGGCTGGCCAATTAAGCCCTGACTTTGCTCTTAGTCTTGTCTTCTCCTCCCTTTCCTGGAGAGGACAGAAGAGATGATAAGTTTAGGAAGGGCAGATTTTTGCCTCGTTGAGGCTTTATGTTTTCTCCTTCCTCGTTCTGTCCAAGTTGGGAGTATGGCCCAGTATTACACCCAAAGGGGCTCACGAACGGGTGTCACTTAGGTATTTCCAGATTCGGCTGCCCTGTGAACCTACTCAGTGTCAGAATTTCTTTTTGAAGTTTAGCAGCAGGGGGGTGCTATGTTGTATGCTACTTGGTGTCCCATGTTGGGCTGTGCGGAATATCGACTTGAGGTTTGGATGCCCTACGGGGAACATAATATCGGGAAATATCTGATACTCCCCTTTCTAGAACAATTGAGAGGCTCATAAAACTACAGATCGTTGGAAACACATGAGCTCTGTGAATATCTGGTCTTCAATATTAAGCCTAATATCTACGTGTGTACTTCTCTTCACAATTTATTGCATTACAATATGATGACGATCCTCCAGCATATAATCCTAGGTCAAACTCACCCACCCTACCTTCTCGAGAAGATACGTTACCATATCCTCCCACCACGCCCTCCTCTCTCCAATAGCGATAGTATTATCAAAATTTTCTTCGTCCACAAGTTCTGTGTCCATCCACTTCCACAATGCCTGGACAGCTTCCCAGACTGGTGGTACGCTCTGTAAACTGTAGTCAGTAATTGATCCTGTCAGATATAGGGACATGATGGGCAATGTCCAAGGTGTAATATAACTCCTGAGAGAAGAGAAAATGTCAAAGTGACAAAACGGCAAAACAGCGGCAGGAGTACGAAATATGAAATATAGTTTGATGGAAACCCACCGATCGACAGCTGGCAGCTAAAAGAACCGTCTCGAACCAATTTCTTGCTACATCTCGGTCATCTTGCTGGTATGAAACTAGTGACATGATAAAAATGCAGAAGAACGGAGCCTGGGAGGTGAAGAGTACCCCGTTGTAGGGCATTCGCTGCACACATGTCATAAGAATCTTCAGTGCCGCGCGAACATCAGGGTGGCAACGCGGTTTCCTGCGTTCTGTCAGTCTTCCTATTTTAACTCGAATTAGGGGTAAAGGGCATTATAGAAGGAGGTTATTGCTAGTCTCCCACCTGAAGAAGCGACAGTGTAAATATATTTTTGCCGCGCAAACCCACGTCTCACCAGTCAACTCGGTGACTTTAGTTGCAGTATATACCTTCCCATCAGCGTCGAGGACACAGGATTCAAGGAGTGCAGCTGTGGTAGCATATCCTTCTGAAAGCTCAGACCTCTGACGGAAGTTATGCAACATTTCCTCGATTTTTAACGCGCCAATTGGCGTAACGACTGACTGAGAGTTCTTTACGTGCAGGTTAGTTAACTTCCCATTGCATCTCCTAGGCACAAAAGCGGGGATGCAGATACAGACTTTCATCATTCTCGCAGATAAATGCGTTATCTGGGCAAAAATGTGTAGTAGTTTTGGTGAGAGCCCAGTGCCTCCATGAATGGTGCGAACCTCCTTTTCGGTGCCCTCCAGCAACCATCCAAAATGGCGATCGTTTTCTCGTAGCTGGAGGGGTGTAACGGGTTCCGCAAGAACACATGCCAGCGAGGCCCAGTTGGCATTGGCAAGCCAGGCTTTATCACACTGAACATTAGTAGCCTTCCAGTAGCGGTAACCGGGGTCGGAATGATCGAGGATGGCCTTGGCCAGGTGCGCCCCATTATACCAGTTTGGGGTTTTACCTTTAGGTTTCCGGAGCTCCCAGTTAACGCACTGCACGGAACTGACTTAGCGAGATATTCAAGATTCTTAATGAAGGGTTATACAGGAAAGGATAGGAAGAAATTGGTTCCTACATCATCAACAAGTAGCAACAATATGGCTGCGACAATGCCGTCTGATTTTGAAACAGCATGTATTTCCGGCGTAGAGAGACCTGCTGTGATCAATTCTGATGCCTTGCGATAATGGGCATTTGTTCGCTTTCGCAGATCATCCTTATGCACATAATCAAGTACATAGCCTCCCACTAGAGCGAGAATAGCGTGCTTAACGGCATCCTCAGCTGCGATCATCGATGCAATCTCCGTGAGCCAGAAATTCGTTTGTGACAGAAGCGTCCGACCTTGGCAGTAGGCGACTAAATCTGTCAGAGGTTAGTATAGGAAGCACACAAGCAAGCACCTTAACCCAAGTTACGCTTACAGAATTTAAGAAGTTTCCCATCGACTGCGTCCAATTTTACGCCGCTGGCAAAGTTCGGAGGCAAATAGGGGATATTGTTGAACAGGGAATTAGCTTCGGAGGTGTTTCGATGATGCACTCCCATACAGCTCGCCCCAAAGCTCCTCTTTGCTGTTTTAACACAGCTCTCATCCAAATCAGCATTTCGAATGCGGAACTTGATGTACCCGTTGACGCTGCCGTCCTCCGGCGTGAGTATTTGCTTACGCAGAGTCTCATGTCGGGATGTTGCATTGTCTGAGTAGGGGTTCTCGAGGGAGAGGTTAATAAAGCGGTCTTCTAGGGAGGGTATATCTGGATACAACACTTGCTGCAACCAGTCTCGTGCCGCAGTATCGAAATCGTTTATGAGTTGGTCATCCGAGAGAAAACTCGGCGTCGGTGGTAGCCAAGTGGAAATATCGAGCGCTGATGCCATGTAGTCATTGTCCCAGGTAGGCTGTTCGTCAGGGAGCGGGAGTAACGCAATGTTCGGCATATCAATAGCGAACATGGAACGGTCATCCCAAAGGCTTTGGTCTTCATCCTGCTCCTGCTCATTTTCTTCACCCTGTCTATGGCGAATCCGTCCGGGCTTCTCGACACGGGAGGGGTCACTAAACGGGCCTGGAGGTTCATTCAAGCGGTGCCGTTTCTGGCCTCGTCGATGGTACATGCTTACTCACGTCTCAGAAACTAACCAAATTGGCAGTGCTTGTTCAGGACTAGGTTCTGTTATGAGATAGTGAGATTAGAGCTGGCTGGAAGAGCGGTGGTGAGGTCAGTGGATTTGCCCTTTATCTACGGGATTAGAGTACGGGTAGTTGTTTGAAGTCCATGGCCGCTATCACGAAAAGAACAAGGCGAAGAAGAGCTAACTGGTCGTCAGCCTTGTCAACCCATCACGCATGCGGACCCAGGGCATTAGAGGCGTCCTTTCAAGCCAAAGAGAAGAACGAATGGCTGCCAGGAGCTCTGACGAGACAAACCCCGCTTGGTGGCTGGTTTGACCACCTCACACTTGAATATTCAAAGACTCGTTTTCAGCCTCATATCCCTCTTCTTGACGAGGCTAGCTTCAGTCGCTTCTCGTCTCATCTCGTTCTCTCTTCTCTCCTCCATCTTCCCTCTTCTCTTCTCTTCTCTCTCCTCTCTTTTTCTTCTTCTCTCCTCTCTTTTTCTTCTTCTCTCCTTTTGTGTGTTGTGCTAAGACTAGTCCTGCAGCAAAGGCTACTCGTGCATCCAATCTCAGAAAAGCAAATAGAAAATCTCCCCTGGTGTCCCCTTCCGGAAAATCTCACCATGCCGGATCCCTTTTCGCCGCAAGGTATCCCGGATATAGCCTTTGTCGAATTACTTGAAGACCGACGGGGACAGCTCGGTTTTGTTGCTGCAGACTGGCCGGACTCACGTTGTCTACTAGCAGACATAGGGGAGTACCTAGTCCGGTCTGCGGTGATATTGTCGCACCTGGCCAAGGACCTGGCCGATGGCCATCATATAAAGACCTACGCGATTCAGACAATCAATGACATGAAAGAGACCACTGACTTCTCTGATCTTGATCCTCTGGATTACTTTGATTCAAAACATTCATCGCTCAAGTGAGTTCGCTAGACCATTGCTTTCCTGGGCATTTAAAAGTATGGTTTCCCGCTGATTCGATGTATACAGGGAGCTCGCCTCGCAGCTGGAAGGAATGGCGAATGATATTCAATCACGGTGGAAACAAAGCCAAAAGCCTCCAGAGCTCTCATCCCGTCGCCAAAAACGCCCCGCACAGGGACAAATCTCTGGAGCTACGGTAGACCCAATGGACGAGGTTACAAATTATTCTGGTGACGTCATTCAGACGGGAACTGGGGCTGCACGGCATCGAATCCGCAACTCAGATGGGAGGCCGGAGTCTCCCCCCTTCGATGACGCTATAAACGACACTATCCAAGATCTTTTAAAATCGCTAGTATCCCGTGGAAAGGGGGACCATTTTTGTCCCCTCGGTCATCGCTGCCGGAAAGGGGGGGTTGATGGCAATGGTGAAATTGTGAATTTTGAGAGAAATTCTGTTTTCAGGCATGTATTAGCTTTTATTTTGTATATTGAAAGTTAACATATTCTGTTCCTGACACAAGTTGGCTTCGTTAGGTCGCATTTGGAGAAGCACCAAAAGCTGTACAAGTGTGAGCTGCCTGGGTGCAGAAACCACAAAGGCTTTGCGAGGAAAGATCAGCTTCAGCGGCATCAGGAGAATGTCGCACATAATGCCATGTAGGTAATAGACAGTCTCCAGTGAACCTGAGTTCTACACTCATTTTCAATTATCCTCTTCATTAAATCGGATTTTCCTGTATGAACATGTTGCCTGAGCTTTTCCTCACCGCCACAAGGACATGAACCTAAATCGTACAGCAATAAATGTTCAATATAAATGGGCCCTGGTGTGTTTAGCTAGAGGAGAGGAAATGATACCCGTGGAAGGCGCATTTGCGTATTGAATTGCAAGTCTCGAATTGTTCGCAAGATATGAAGCGCAGGCCAATTGCTCACCCAGACGATATGCAGGCAGCATGCTTCCTTGGGGCCGCTGATTTGGAGAATAATTGCATCGGAATCTGTAAGCATCACGGAGACTTCTATTGTAAACCCGGGGAAACTGATAATCCACGGGAGTTGGATATCTTGTTAGCTACCGTAGTAAACGGTTTTTCAATAGATTTGTGTGTACGAGATGCGAGTGGGCGCGGCCGTATCTCATAAACTAGCCAGCCATGTATTTTTCTCAAATAACACGAGATTTCCGCACAGCGTGGGATTTCCTTCTCATGTTTAACAAGAATCAAACGCTCGCTTACGCTCGCTTTGCTGCTTGCGCAGCCCCCTCTATCACTTCCACCCCCTACCCCTACACCCCCCCCTTACCGCCCCTACCACCCCTTCCACCCCCTACCCCCTCTACCACCACCACCGCCTCTACCGCCCCGCAGCCCCCCTACCACTTCCACCCCCTACTCCTACCCATCCCTTACCGCCCCTACCACCCCTTCCACCCCGTATCAACCCTATCGCTATTATCAGATTAATCAGAGCCGTACAGGCCACAGAGCTGGCTGTTCAATCCCATCCATGAATTCGAAGGGGTGCACATCATGTTACAGGGCATTTAGCAGCGCATGCCATGAACACAGAGATCAAAAATGAACACAGAGAAGAGTATAAGGAATGTAAATACTGTAGAGAATGTATGAAAAGAGCAGAATGAAAAAAAAAGATTGAAGATTTGAAGATTGATCTGAGCTGTATGGGCTGGAGAGCAGAGCTGAGCATTCAAATATTTTTGATGAGGTGCACGTGATGTCACATTACAGTGATTTTTGCAAAGTTGGTTTTTCTATAATAAATAGAGAGAGAGAGAAAATAGAGAGATGTTCAGTTCGTTCATTGGCCGTTATTCTCAAGTTAGCGGGAGATAAACAGGGGGATAACGAACAGAAGAAATTATCGTTGGAAAAAAAAAAAAAAATATGCCGGAATCTTCTCCCCGGCTTGCCCTGAGGATGATATTTTTAGACCAGCATACGCTGCGTATGGGGCTAGCCAGGGTAGCTACAAACCTCGAGACGGATAGTGTATCTCTCACCTCGTCCTAACGAATCGGATGATGTTGACCTTCTTCCAATTTGAGAGTTTCGTCAACTTCTCAAATAATTGATTTTCCTAAAACACCCAGGAGAGCTTGACAACCTAAACCCTGTTTCAACCAATTGGATGGATACGAACAGAGCCGGAAAGCGGGCAAATGAGTTCCTGAGGCCTGAAGGCATAAGGGTCAAATATCCATCTGGATTACTCATATCGAAGCGCAGCTATGTGTCCATATGGCATATATGCTAGATACAACCCAGCCGGTTTGCCTAAACATTCTCCGTAGACTCGCGGCCTCACCCACTAGCTTCTTTGGCTCGTTCGTAAAATTCTTTGGCACCGGATCCTGGCAGTGTGGGTAGTGGGGTCAACATGGTTAGTTCCAGGCATCTGGGGAATAAGTACGCTTAGGCGAGAGCGTTGCATATTGCCCCTGAAACCATGCATATTTCCCCTTTCTTTTTCTCTCCCAGCTAGACGAACGACAGAGCCTCTTGAGCAGAAGCATGGAGAAAAAGCATAAAATTAAAAATTAAATCCGGCGAAAACTGCCCAGAAAGAGAGAATATCAGGCGGTTTGATTTTCAACTTGCTTTGGAAGGCTGCCCCTCAGATAGGGACTGTTTTCGAATTGTTCTACTCCTTGGGGGATTGACTGCGAATAATCTCCGTCGACTCTCCTTTTCCTCTCATCCTCGGACAATATTCTCAACTCGGGGACCCTGGAACCTTGGAAATCTGACAGATAAACATATGAAGAGGGGACGATGCCCGAGGAACATCGGAGGTCTGGCGAGTGGGCTGACACTCACCCTTTTTCAGGGAATGATCTTCACAGCTGAAGCCGCTGGAGGAACCAATAGTCCAAAACCTGGGAGCATTGTGCTCGCAGGAGCAAACACTAGCTAGCAGCTATTATTACTGAGCAGCGCTAGCAGCCACCAGAACTCCCAATGGGGGGTCGCACAAGTGATCATTTATTAGACGCGAGGGACAGAGTGAAAGAATAATAGAAGCATCAAGCCACAGATCATATTGCGCTGTAGAGAGTAACGATGTTTAAAGTGTTCTGTTGTCTAGCCGTTATGAACTCTATCAGTCAACCTTGACCCAAGCAACAAGTTTACCTAGGTAGGGCAATCAACATCACATGACTTGTAACCTCCAACCAACCCAACCCCTTAAAAACATGCCCCACAAATTTCTTAGCTGTCCACCAGCATAGCTTCTGCATGAACGGAGTGGGTGGTGTTGCAGCTGTTGGCCTTTAGCCTGAAATTAACCCCTGTCTCCAAAATCCTGCATGATTGGGTTGAGCCTGGAGCGCGCAACTCTGACATAGAGCTGATGCAAAATAATATGCGCCGTGCTGACCGTACTCCAGAGATAACAATCAACTTCAGATGATGTTATGCTTCAGTGTGTAACACTCTTGACTAGCGGTTTCTCTCTGTTAGAGGACGGAGTGGAGAGCTTGGCCATTAATTGAGAAACATTATAAGATAGCGGGGACGGAATGATAGAGCTATGACGAAGTACTGTACATGTACTATACATGCACCTTGATGTACCGTGCACGTTTGCGTCTAAGACCTGCTATTACATCGGCTTCTACAGTGCACTCACATCTTCCACCAACATAATGCAACCACTCATGCAATTAGAACAATGATGAATACCTTTGGGCATATCACACAATCTTCAAGGGGTTGAGACTAGTTTGCCCAGCAGCGCCTTTTCAGCATGAACCAGACAGGCGGAACCTTGTCGTCAATTCAGAGGCCGAGAAAATCATGCAATGTTCGGTACCTTGTACGTGTGTGCCGGACAGGACAGGATGCCGAGCAATAGTCCGAATCCAAGTGCTAGTATCTCCCAAACCATGCGTCCAGCACGAGCCAAAGGTTGAGCGGGGTAGCTAGTGGCAAGTCGGGAGACCCAGCTCGGTGCGTGGGACTTCCCACTCGTGTGCAGAATCAGCCCCTATAAGCATCCAGACACCAGGTCCATTGTCCGTTTTTTTCGCCCTCGTTTGTCCTTCTTTCCACTTCGAACGACATACACACCCGTCCGTCATTGTTAAATTTAGACGTTTGATACCCTACGGTTTGGCGATCATATCGAACCAAAGCATATCTAATCGACACTGATCGCCCATGTCAACAGCGTGTGAGATGGAGTGTCTAGCATACTATTTCCAAATCGCCTGAGTTCTTTCAATCAGCCTCAACCCGACAGAATCCTACCTTTTCACCTCTGCCATATAACTGATACTCAAATTAATAACTTATCCTCCTGATATTTTACTTAGTTTCATTCGCTCCTTATCTCTCCGTTTGCACTCCTGCGTCGATTTCATCTTAACTTACAAGCTTCATTGAATCGACTGCATATTTTGCCCGTGCTGATGCCATGACGCAAGTCGACTACTATTAGCTTTGATTGTATGATCAGAGGAAGCAGCTGCCATGCGCGGGTATCTCCCTCCCACCAAGCGAAGCGATGATGTGGGCCGCCCCGACGATAACCCAGATGCCTTGGTCCTCGAAGGTTGGGCACAGGGCTTCATGGTGGGAACCCTGGTGTTTATGGCTGCTATCACGATCGCAAACATGCGCCGTAAAGCCCTTCTACATAAATTGATCCTAGCTGAGGTACGTTACGTACATTTCAATGGCAGACTTCCCGCATTCTTGGAATTCATCATGATTAACAAAATTGTCTTCCAAAGTTAATCCTCGGCATGGCGCATGGCACATGGATCTTTGCGCATGAGCCGGTATATGGCTGGTACCTCTCCACTACTGCAATTGGACTCAATATGTCGTGGAGTCTTCACAACGTTATCTCCTGGATGAAAAACAGGCCGTTCCTCAGCAAGAACGTCAGCAGATTCTACATCGGCACGGTCATCCTTGTACAACCGTACTGGATCCTCGAAATATACGCCAACTTCACGTATTTCAACCGCATTAATGACTTATTCCTGAAAACCAGACCCTTTGAAACTCTCTTCCGGTGAGCATCTGGCTAAGATATATATCCCGCCTCCACCCTACCTGCATATACGATTGGTGGCAAGAGCTGGAAGAATGAATAGGCTGACTCTCAGTTTCCAGTGATCCCTGGTGGATATATACTACATGCAATCTCTTCTATGTCATAAAGTCTGAGTATTCGTTTACCTACGTCGAGCTCGTTCGTAACAGCCCTCGTTTTGGCGTAATGCTAGCGGCTATGTGTCTCTCAATCGTATTTCTTATTGTCGACCTTCTCTCCGTCCTTCACGTTTTTGAAGGATCCTTGCCCACGGGTGTTAATCCGTTTTGGAAGGTTAGGACAAATCTACTGCGAAGCCCGGATTGAACCCCCTCCTAACACTCTAAGAAGGAGGCAAGAAAAAAAAAAAAAAAAAAAAAAAAAAAAAAAAAAAGAAAAAGAAAAAAGAAAAAAAAATCATCGCTAATTGCACCACATCTAAATAGTTGTCCTTTGTCTTTAAATGTCTCTGCGATACCGTTATTCTCGATGATTTCAAAACTGCCCTCGACCGCCTTCGTGACTACTGGTTGCTCAAAAACGGCACGGCAGATCAACTCAGTTATGCTCAAGATCGGCAAACTCCGCGAACTCCTCGAACTCCACGAACTCCGCGATCGCGGTCTCCACTGCGAAGACATGATTTCAGCCGCGGCCCTGGTACTATCAAGAAGCCTGATGCCATAGCAAGCAGGGAAGGCAGTTTCAGTTATCCATTACAACATAGTAGGAATTTTAGCCATCCGACTAGAGACAAGAATCCTTTCCAAGAAGAAGCGTGACGGGGTTTTAATTATGAGAATCTTTCCTTTAAAAATTATTTATTATATTCTTTGTTAATAGTTTCCACTTGTCTAGTGATTTTCATTTATGTTTTTATTTTTTATTTTTTTATATGATGGTTTAAAATACCAGTTTTGCTTCTTCATTTTCGTCATCTGTACTCTGTACTGTACTGTACGATACCAGCCCTACCGGTCCAAGATGCCTGCCAGGACCAGTTATAGGCTAGGGATTATTATTATATTTCAAAGAAGGGAAAAAGCATGCATAAAAGTCTGTTGTGAATTTTGCACCTGTATCAATAGGTTCACGTCTACAGATTTGTACTATAAGGAGGAATGTCAGCCGCTACTATTCAAGCATTTTTCTTACAGTTCCCTTGCCGCAAAATAATGGCTCCAGGCTTGTAATGTAATGTACTGCACGTACCATTTCCAGCCCTCAACCAAGACACCAGTTGCATAACGAAGTATAATATAAATCGCATATATTCGTAAGGAACAGAGCATAAATGATGGAAACATGCGTACCGGCCTAGGATTGAATGCTTCCGTGTTGTCGAAGTTTTGCAGTCCAGAGAGATCACCAGTTAAGCGATACATAAGCCCCTTAATTTATTCTCATATATTGTAAACATTAATGGCTGGTAGCCTTGCCTTTTCATATCAGACTCGTGTAGCTACTTCGCATTTTCCGCACTGTTTCAGTGTGCAGTTGATGGGTTTGCCCCTTGGTTTTTGAGACTCCTTGTGTACGGCCCTGCTCACTTTCATCCCATTGATCGGTCGGAACAAGTTGGCAGCAATCATTCTTCGCACCTCCTGTTTCATGTGAGGGGGGTGATAGAGCGCTTGCTATGGTTGGCGATTCAACCCCCACAATATCCCCGAATTGTTCCAAAGGCATCGGGAACAAATGTGACTGCGAGCCACGAATCGTTGATAGAGATATAAGAATCCCCCAAAGAAGCTCTTTTGTATCAACTATTGACGCGGCTACGTGTGTAGCGGTTGCAGGTCGCATTCTGCGTGTAGCATCGGCAACGCAAATGCCCAAATTCGAAGAGCTTTTGCTCCTGAAAGGATGGCACAATTAGCAACTGGAGAGAGGCAGGTACGGGAATAGTTTACGGAGGTGACGGACCATTCCGATGCCGTGGGAATCTACCGCGGCTTGAGACACTGCATACACAACCTCCATCGCCGACTTTCCTGCCTTGATGGGGACATGTGGCGGAATGATCTCTTGTATCGCAGGTGATTTCCCCAGGGACAATTGGGTTTGGAAGCTTCCACATTGCCGTCCGGAGCCACTGCTGTGTGACGAGAATGTCAACTTGTTGGGTCTCCAAGACCCCCTCTAGGGATATAGGGGAACTCAAATCGCGCAGAATCACGTTAACAAGCGCCTGCCCAGATAACTCATCTCCTTGTCGAAAAGTAATCCAGTCATATAGGTCCGGTGGAAACTTCTCGAAGAGGTTAATTAGGTTCAAAAACCCATAAGCAAGGATGGGATCATCCCCGCCGAAGATTTCCGGTTTTCGTATCGAATTTCTTAAAATAACAGGTTTGGTTTGCTGAAGCGCATATGCCTTGGTAGACTTGAAGTGTTAGCTAGGGCGACTCATTCAAAAGCATGGCTATATATTGCACCCAAAGTCACCTTTCCGTAACGAAAAGCAACCAGAATACCCTCCGTCTCTCTTCTGCTTCGATAGCGTCAAATGCGCGGTAGGATGACTCTTGATGCAACCCTAATGTATGAGCCATGAAAAGTGCTTGGCAAAGGTAGTACCATGCATGGTCTTGCTTATCCAAATTTCCGTAGGAGGCTAAGAGGTAGAATGATGTGAGGAGACTGTCGATACTTGGAGACTCGATCAGGTCATAATCTGACCGTGCTCGTAGAGCTTCAGATAGCAGGCCCTCTCCTGATATGAGAGTTCCGTCGTGCACGGTCGTTATGCCTGCGTCCGGCCGGTCATGGAGCGCGGGTCCGTCGAGTTTCAGTTGGATATGCGTTGCTGCACATAGAGCGACAAGTAAGGCATATCGCTGTGGGCTTAGACATTCTGGCTCGCTGCTGTCCGCAAGCACCTGGTCCGGCGCGATGACAGGCATAATAGGGAATAGATACTTTAGATACACGTTCACGTGAGCAAGAATAACCAGAGGGGATAAACGAGTAGGAGCCAGTTGTAGGTTAGAGGTATCATTCCAGCTAGAATCATCGGTAGATATCATAGATCCGGGTAAGAGGAACGGCGGCGCAAATTGATGGGTGAGACTACAGTCAAAATCCCCTGAGAGAGCTGAGTTAGGTGGTGTAGGGAAAAAATATGACCTGGGTGATTGATCGCCAATAGAGCTAGCGGAAGAACGTGGGTAAATAGTGCGAAATTTCGGTCCCTTCCGTTGTAGAACGTCTGTATAAGCACAACGGAGAAGCGCACTCTGACACCTATCGCATGGATATAAACGATTGCATTTGAGTTTGCGGCGGCGGCAGTTATCGCAAACCTGCTTCATTGGGGTGGTTGCGTCTATTGCCTCCATATTAGCACTGCTCAAAAGAGGTACTGTTGGGATAACTCGAAAGATGATGGAGATGTTTCAAGAAAGGGGAAGCTCGCAGGAGTTATAAGCACCATCTGTCAGACGGTGAGGTATCCTTCCGTTTCTAATCTATTTCACGCGGGTAAGTTAAATGAATAGGCGAGAGGCTATAACATCTCATCTCCACTAGCTACTTTGACCGGATCAGCGTCCTCCCCGTGCTTATTTCTAGGAGGGAGGGGGGCCGTATTTGGGCGGAGGGACTTCTATGATGGGCGATAACCCAGCATGAAGGCTTAACTCCCCCACAAGCGCGTGTTTGGTCAAGCGTCGGTAAAAGAAGCTTTCAAGAAGGTTGTAACTAGCGGCTGAGGCTTGCACTTGAGACAGGGATATCCCTCGTAGACATACTGCGTAATCGATATTCATGGAGAAGTAGGCTGGAAATTCATGCGAAAAATTTCACATGAGAAAAAATTTTGCGCCCACTCTCGAAAGGAAGCATTGCAAGATTGGTTTGCTGCTATAGAGCTCATACTTTGCTCTGTACGGGGGGTCTTCAACTAAACCAGTGCTGTGCCGCCTTCAAATGTTGAATTTAAATTGGCGCAATCACACCTGCATTCCAAATGTGAATTATTGTGTACTCCGTACTGTGTAAGTCGAAAGGCAAGGCCCACTTAAATATGGGCATAACAGCTCCTTCGGACGTAGCGCCCGCAGGGATGCAAACTTTAACTTAAGGAATCAATCAATCAATCAAGCTCCTTCGGACACAACCGCCTGGCCCCATAACAAAAACAAGCAGTTGAACATGTGCTTTTGGCATTGCCGGTCTCCGCCGGCCAACATCGGTCTTATCAAAATTATTTCTGGCAGTAGAACCCGAGGCTGCTGCGTTATTCGCCAGCAAAACGCCGCCGAATAAGAATCAAGATCTGGGTATCCTAAAAATACTCCCTGGTAATAGAGGGACCGTGATTCATGCTGGTGTACACTCTCCTAAACTCTCGACCAGGATCCCACTGACACTAGTTAACATTCATTGCTGGGCATTGATGTCGCATAATTCCTCAATTTCAATAAACCTAAGAGGTGCCGCTGGGCCTTGAGGTACAGAGCACTTCCACAAAATTGGAAACTAAGCCTGAGTGTGTCAGTAAATAGTAGATTCATGCTGTTTAGATGATCATTGCCTCCATCTGAAAGAAAGCTAGTGTGGGTATTCTGTCACATAATCGTATAATTTACCGACATGGGTCAAATCCGGGGTATTACCTCCCACAATTAATCAGAAGTCGAGGGGATCCAGGGGGTAAACGACAGAGCCACAATATCGATCACACTCTGGGCGGGTATAAAATGAGCAAGTCAAGAATAAAACACGGTTTACCATTGACAACCGTACTCTCAAGGCCAGAATTTGTCGCATGGAAATTGGAATATGTCAAAAATTCCCGGTGTTACTTCTAAGAGGATGACGGCTTCCATTCCTCCGATATAAATTTGGGATCTGGATGTACTCCAGCGGAAATGGATAGGCTGATTCGGAAGATTATTAGCATACCTGCTGTAATATACAGCTCAGGAGATATGCTGACTCGGTAATCATGATTTGCTATCAGTCCCCATGCATGTTTTGCCATCTGGCCCCCTCTATCCATTTTCTCGCTTTCCATGGAGTTCAGCCAACAAATTTCGTCGAGCCTTTATGGGGTTAGCTCGGTCAACAACCAAGCCTGGATCCCCCTATCGCACTATGGTCTTGCATTTCAACCACGTCGAGATGTAGCTAAACTCTAAGGTTTCGAGCCCTGGAACGTTGTGTCGTTCCATATCGAAACAAGCAGGGTCGCAGGCTAGTCTTTCAGAGTTTGAGACCCAAAGCCACATAACCTAGAGCAATAGAAATTGTTTCCTTCAAGTAATCATATTAAAATATCCGTCGCCTAACTCATACGGATTAGATTTCTTCTATTTTTCTGTGGGTTGAGGCTGGCTGGAATATCGTGTGCCCTCCTTTCATCTGTGGGTTCATGCATTTTCATAGGGAAAAGTCTAGGACTCACCATCTCAATCATCGAAGTGTGCCGCCAAACAGAGTACACATCAGCGAGAATGCCTGAAACAGGGAATTGCTCGGTGGCTTATCTCTGGGGTACAGTAGGTCCTTGCACTAAACATGTCCCATCTCCGATGAGCGCATTGCCGGAGATCTTCGGGCTAGGGGGTCTGACGTGAACATTTCGGAGGAGTCCACTGCATCATCACACCTGTTCACACCTGTTGACACCTGTAATATCTGTTTTCGGGCGGCGTATATACACCTGCATGGGTTGAAGAAGAGCCATGGGCAGGGAGGGAAACAGTTGCTAGCGGCCCGTGGGAGCTTTCGTCAATCAGATATTGAAGAAACTTTTGGCGATGGCCGATAATAATCTGCAATGGCACGAAATTAGTCCTCAAACGGGTCAGGAAGAGAGGGTTGACCGGGATCACCAAAATCATCGAACTAACAAAAAGAAACAATAATGAGAAAGACGAAGTCAGGGCGTGTTCAGTTTGCATGTTTAACCTCATACAAGCTCTTATAAGAGACTCGCACAACCTTACACACCCTACTATTCAACATTCTCTGCATGAAAAAGGCCTTGCATTCAAGTCTGCCATTCTTATATTCCTTTTTTTCCCCTTCACATACACAGGATTAGGCTTCAATCATGCAATATTAAACTTCAATAAAGTATTTAGACTGAATAGTGAGGGGTTGTGACTAAAATAGATAAGATGAGGGGCATGGCACTAAAAATAAAATAATATTCACTCTTCACATGCAGGTTATATAAGAAGTTAACAACTGGGAAAGAAAAGAAAAAAAAAAAAAGAAAAAGAAATTCTCAAAAAAACTCCCCGACAGGGAATCGAACCCTGGTCTCCCGCGCTCGGCACGTAAATGACAAGCGGAAATCATGACCACTAGACCATCGAGGATATTTGTTGGTGTTGGAAGCCCACCAAGCGTTAAATAAAATCATTCCTATCGATACGGCGGATTATTATTCATTATTGCATCATCCCCAATCCCAGTGTTTGTTTATTCCCTTTTCCTCTCCCTCCAGGCCGAACATTTCAGTCGTCTTCAGCGCCATGATACCCTGTATCCTTCGATCTGTATATATTCACTCTCGTACAAGCAACGTTTATTTGCCCCGGCCACGGCATTTTACGATGGCAAGCCCCAACCTGGACAGCCTGCCCATGCAGCCGAAATACGCATCTACCCTGCCTGATGAAACGAAGCAATTAGCAACCGAGACGAACTCGCTACTTAACAGTAACTGGTCTCTCGATGAAGAGCAGATGGGCTTAAAAAAGACGTTCTATTTTAAAACATACACAAAATGCCAGGTCAGTGATACATGCAGCCGCGCCGGGCATCAGGAGCTCTCGGCATATTTCTGCGTGGTCCCTTTAATGCTCCATTTTCCTTCTCAAGAATTTTATAATTATTATTATTATTTCCTTATTTTGCTAACAATTGTTTTATAGGACTTTTTCAACATGGTCGCTATTAGGAGTAAATCGGCAAACCACCATTCGACAATGACAGTTGTGAGAAATTGCTACCTCCGTTGCCGCCTCTTCCTTACCTTCCCTATCCCAATCAGCCAATACCCATCCTATCAGAAACCTTACTGACTCCTCCTATCCTTTTCTAATATTCTAGAAATTCCGTTCTGTTCATATACATTGGACAACTCACAGTCCACCTGGCCTCTCCGCAAAGGACACCTTGATGGCACAGTACTGCGACGAGCAAGCTAAGATGCTAGGCGCAGTGGATCAAAGTGAAGTTCAGACGTGCGCTTGAACGCCTATTCCAGAGTCCTGGGGAATACATTGGGCGAAATGAGGTGGCATTTCGTATTTTGAATTTTCATCTACTCGCAATGGACGATGGGATGTTAAAAGGCGGCCAGATGAGTGAGCAGGTTATTGGCAAAACTTGGCTTGGTGCTGCACACCCCCCAGAGAACGGGAACAAACTATGAACCGATTCTAATGGAAAATATAAGTTAGGAAAGGAGCAAGTTGTTTCAGATATCAAACAACATATCAAACCGGTTGCTATGGGTGACTGTTTACTCAGAATTTGATATCATGAGAAATGCGGCAGGAAAAGCTCTCTTCTCTTTGTGTTCCCAACAGAGCTATAGAGCGTAAGTTATCCCGTGGAAGTCTGCGCTCTGTTTAGGCGGGTGGGAAAACGGCCGTAAAATGTCGTAATATCTACTGGCGGCAGGACGATCGCTAAATGTCCAACGCAGAACAGCGCTTCACGGCAAGTACCCGAGGTCATAGTGATTGCCTCCACTTTTCTCATCTTGGCCGAGAGTTCCGCAATGGAATTATTCTCCATTATACAAATATATAAATTTATGGCCTGTTATATTTTGTCACTTGTTCGACTTGGCGCCCAAGATCGGCACCACTGGAGCTTCCCCGCCCGTTGGATCTTCTCCCGTCGCTTTTCCATGCCTTTAGAACTATCATTTTACGGCTGGAACAACATGAGATACACATCTATATAGATAATCTTCTGATCTTCACCCCACCACTACTATAGGAAACTTACATACTTCAAATACGGAACGGGTCTAGGCACCCGGAATAAAATAAATAACCCCCCCCGGGGGCGCCCGGGCAAAATATCACACAGCAGAAAAGAGAAAGAAAATCCTAAAACAACAATGATATCCCCACTAACCACCCGCCTCCACGCCTCCCATAGCCGCTACAAAACCCGCAACCCCAGATCCTACGCCGCCCACCAGGAAGCCCTCAAACACCTGCCTGGCGGAAACACCCGCTCCTCAATTTTCTCTACCCCATTCCCCCTCACCATCGCCTCTGGCAAAACTGGCACCCTCACCTCCCTAGACGGACACACATATACTGATTTTCTCGGAGAATATAGCGCTGGCCTATTCGGCCACTCCAACGCGCGTATAGCCAATGCTATATCCACCGCCATGACAGGTGGATGGAATTTCGGCGGCATCAGCGTGCATGAGTGTGCTTTTGCGGCGCGTGTGTGTGACCGCTTCAAGGAGGCTGGGGTGGAGATGGTGCGATTTACGAATTCGGGGACGGAGGCGAATACAATGGCGATTGCGACGGCTTTGGCGTTTGTTAATAGTAGTGACAACGGGAACGATGGCACGAGGACGAGTAGCACGAAGAATAAAATCCTCGTCTTCAGCAACGCATACCATGGCGCAACACTTACGTTTCCGATGAGCCTTGTCGGCGGAAATGGCGATCAAGGCAGCGGAGTGATGAGCAGCGGCGGCACCGCAGGCCCCGCAGCCACGAATCTCCCACACGACTTCGTCATGGCGCCATACAATAACATCGCGGAGACGAGGGCAATTATCGATTCCCTCGATCCAAGCAATAGCCTTGCTGCAATCCTCTTCGAACCCATGCAAGGCGCCGGCGGCTGTCGGACCGCCACGAAGGAATTCGCTAGCTTCCTACGGCAGGTTGCGGACGAGCATTGCGCGCTCCTCATCGCTGATGAAGTGATGACGTCCCGACTGGGACCTGCGGGATTATGTGTGAGGTATTTGGGTATCAACCCTGATATTATGACGTTGGGGAAATGGGTTGGTGGTGGGATGAGTTTCGGGGCATTCGGGGCCAGGAGGGAGATTATGGAGTTGTATTTACCTGCAGGTCCGGGGGAGGGGAAGGGGAGAGGGAAAGGGAGATTGAGCCATGCCGGGACTTTTAATAATAACATATTGACGATGGTGGCCGGATTCGAAGGCCTGGGCATATATACGAGGGAGAGAGTTGAGGCGCTTAATGCTTTGGGGGATAGATTGAGAGGCGGAGTTTGGAGTATGCTTGCTGATCGGGGAATTATCGGTGAACATGTAAGGACGGGTGGTGAGTTAAGTGGAGGGTTTGGGTTTGTGGAGGTCGATACGTTTCATCGAGAGAAGCGGGAGGAGGAGACCAAGACCCTTCCACGAATGTTTATAAGTGGGTATGGGAGCCTGATAACCGTACGGTTTACTGGAGATGCTGCAGAAGCGTGGCAGGCGCTGTTTTATCACCATATGCTGGACCAGAATGTTTATCTTGCTATGAGGGGCTACATGGCTTTGACGTTAGAGACGACAGAGGGTGATGTTGACAGGTTTATCAAATGCGTGGGGGCCTTTCTAGACCAGTATGGAGAGGAGCTGCTGGTTGCTTAGACGAGGAAAGATCGGACAGTGTGATCTGGTTTGAAGCAACGATTAAAGCCAGGCTCAGACTAAGTCGGTTGATAGTAAACAGCGCCAAATGGAATATCATTGTAAACAGTAAAACTCAACAGCAGGCTGTATCTCTTCAAAAAGAACCTGTACATACATTGGACGAAATTCCCCGCCGCAACTGGCTTTGAGCCAGGGTGGTCTGTCCTACAGGGAGAAAGGAAATCCAGTGTCAATACAAGAAAAATGACTAAATACAAGAAGTCATAAAAAAATGTAGAGCTATGTGTGTAAGAAAAAAATACAAGTGAGAAACAGGGGTAGATCTGAAATAGGTAACTAAAATTTGAAAAGGAAGAAACCAAAATCACCTGAGAAACGGACAAAATGAATATCTCAAGGGTGTGTCGTTGGTGGAATAAAAGGGACAAACAGTACAATCTCTATAGATCTCTATGAGACGGGAAGCAATGTATCTTGAATATAAGCGCATGTTCGGTTGTTTGGCATCCCTCGTTCAGGATACCATCAAAAGAAAAAGGGAAATGGATGAGGGAGCTGGGGCCTAAGGCTTCATTTAATTGCGTCATTACCAAGCCTGAAAAAGGTTCTTCGTTCCAGCGATGACCCATCAACAGGAACAAGCGATGAGACGAAAGAAAGGATTGAAATAGAATTCAGACAGGCAAAAATCATGATCGTTTAATAGTATGCATGGATGAGAAAAAAAAAGAGGGGTTAGAAAACAAGCAAAACTGACTTCTGAGCAAGTTAGAGAGGGATGCACGCATGTAGCAAAATGTTCCATGTACTCCGATAAACGATGCGGAGAATTAAAATCAAAAGGATGAAATGTCAAACGCCAGTTAATTCGCAAAATTCAATAATCAGGTGGTCTTATCAATCAAGTTCATTATCACCATCAGTCGAGGCGAACGGACGGTGTCTAATGCTTATTCTCCGCATTCCTGTACTATTTGTTCTAGGCCGTAACTGGAGTAAACCGGTATATTTAGAGCCCAAGCCGGTCCCTGCGGAATTAGGGTCTTTCGGTGAGCCTTCCGCAGATTTGGTACCCGTATTTAAAGAGGCTGCGCCGTATCTTCGGAATCCAGGCTGGATATTCGTGTGCGTGGTTGTTGGAAGGCTCGTACCTGGGGTACCATAATTCCTGCGCATTGGGATATTTGACTGGGCTTGAGGGGTTGAGTGGGATTGATCGGTATGCTGTTGTGGGGGGGATAGCTGCTGTAACACGTGCTGTTGATCCGGGAGCGGATGATTGGAAGTATACTCGCGCGAATGGCGTCGTTCTCTAGGTGAATAACGAGTTGTCCCGGCGTTGATCTCAGTCATTGCTCGGGAAATAGGACGGGAGACAACAGACGCTTTGTCGTCAGGTTCTTCTTCGCCTTGCAATCTTCGGCTACGAAGTGTCATAGAAGAACGATTGAGACGGCTTGGAGGAGTTGAAAGGCTGGATGGAGGAAGCTGGTTTGTTTGTTCCTGGTTGTTTCGGCTGGATGTAGGTCCTGTACTCAGACTAAGGATGCTTGCTCGCCGCGTCTCCAAACGACTGCCCGCTGCCAGTCGCATTGTGGGAGTATTACCACGGTGAATGTCCTCTGGCTCATGGCTGGCGCTTCGACGATATGCGATAGTCGGCGTTATCGACTCCCTATCTACAATTCCATCCCTTCGGTACTGGCTAGATGTCACCTCTGGACTACCCGGTCTTGTTTTCAGCATAGATTCCCACTGCTGATCTGACAATACCAAACACAACTCCGTTAAACCCCGGCACAAGCTGTCCGCCTTTCGTCGCACCTGCCGCTCTGAAACACTCGCTCCATTAACAACGGACATACCACTTCCGTGCTGTGGCGCGTTGGAGCTGAGAATAGTAGCCAATGTTAAGGCGTCTGTTGCTGTTGCTTCAAGCGCGCGATACACATCGGCATTCAGTATGGGTTTGGCTTTCGCTAAAGCTGTGTTAAGTAAAGGGTGTACTTGATCTGCTGCAGCGCCTGATTCCGGTTCTGGTGGTGGAGACGTCGTTTTTCGACCATGTTTTGGGGAAGAAGAGAGTGTGGTCACTGTCGTCGTTGCAGTGCGGGGCCTTTCACCAGAAACACTAGACATTGCAGCGGCAGATGACGGTGGTAATTTCCCCGTCAGCTCCAATTTACGAATTCTAGACTTCAAGTCATCTAACTCATCCCAGACGGTAGACGGGGCAGTTGTAGATAGGGTTGATTCTGTGCCATCCAGCCTCGATCTTTCTGCTTCTAACCTAGATCGTTCGGCTACTGTGTCCACGGTAGAGGAATTTTGGGTGGTTCGCATAGTAGATAGATTAGATTGTCTGTATGTGCGCGACTGGCCTTGCATTTGTTCCTGGGCATTGGAACCCCGTCTTTCAATAGTGTAATTCGTAGAAGATTCGGGGGACGGTTCCTGGCTTGTACGAGTGAGTCTGCTCCGAGGAAGCCCAATAGATGATCTTGCGCTAACACCAAAGTATCGAAGTCGACTTTTCTCATCCACTGGATGTTGAGACGCGATAGGGGATCGAAGTGAGGAAGAGCCAAGTCCCAGTGAAGGGGAGTCGTCCTGAGAGCGTGACGGTGTAACCTGATCAGAGTCGAACCGGGGAGTCTGGGGAGAAGGAACCTCCTCATTGGCTTGACTCGTACGTGAAGACAGGCCGGAGAGACCAAATTTAGACTTGTGGAATTGTGACAGTTAGCTAGATAGGCGATATCAAAAGGAGTAGAGGAAGTATAGAGAAATGTAGAGAAAAACGAGACGTAAAGCAGACAAGAATGCGCAAATAAAGTCTAGAGAAATGAGAAACACAATAACAAACAATTCTGGTGAATGCAACACAGAGCTTACCCTTTTCCTTTCAGTCTTCGTTGTTGAACTGCGGCGGATGGAATTTGCTTTCGCAATATTCAAGAAAATGTCTTCATTTTTGGACTTGCCATCCTCGGCAAGAGACTCCTTGCTGCTTGTGTCCGTATTCCCATTGCTTGTGCTCTGATGGCCCCGTTCACGACTGCTGCCACCCAAAAAACTTCCACCCAGGCGCGTGGCTGAGAGAGTCATATTGGCTTTTTCCCGCTTCGTAGTTGTGCTTGATCCAATTGGTAGAGGCGCGCGCTGTCGCAATTCACCGGCTGTCACAGGGGACGTGTCTGGTTTCAAGACTGCATCAATGCTAGATGCCGGACGAGGAGGTTGAAGTTTGGTTTTTGATCTTGCAGTACCCCCAAAAGATCTTGGTCTGTGGAAAGAAGAAGGTGTTGCTGACGTCGATGTTGTTTTTGATTTTGTATTGTGGCGGGATTTATCGTAGGACAACGAGCGTTGTGTGGAAAGCGCAGGCGGCGGGCCGGTTGACGTTTCGATTCCGCACGAACTACGAGACGCGGGAGACCTTTTCTGATGGGGGGATTTTGGCTCGACGTTGGGTTGAGGTTTTAGCGAGTGTGATGTTGTAGAAGAAGAGGCGGTTGTAGGGGCGCTGGAGGATATTGCGGAAATGTTGTTGGCAGATGATGGGGATAATTTATCCAAGTCACGAGTTGTCTGGGTCCGGGGTGTCTGCAACAGTAGGGTAGGGATGCTGGTTGGCGTGGTCCGTGTAGGAGGAGGCTTCAGGGCATTTATTTTGCGCGGAGAAAAACAGGCGAGCGTAGGATCAGATAGACTGGCAGAGCTGATGGGACAGGAATTGCTGCTGCTGCCGGTATACACAGCCAAGTTGGCGGTTGATTTCGGAGTCTGCAAGAGGCGAGTGGTAGAATCCGACGAACGACGGTCTACATGCGGTGCCTCTGCAGGCTGGCTGGTCAAAGGATCAGTCAGTCTGCGAGAGCGCATCCATTCTTTGTCATGTTTGCTGTTAGCAGACTCGGTCACAGTAAGTGTCGAGGTGGAGTTGGAGTTGGAAGAAACAGCTTCCAGGCGCATTGCGTGGGTGGGCCTGGCCTGGCGGGAGCGGACTACGACACACGGCTGGGGATGGGGGTTGGGGATGGGGATGCTGGAGGGAGAACATTCAGGAGAGCAAGGAGTATTCCAAGGAACAGTACACAGTAAATCACTACGCTGTAGGTCAGAACTATAAATGAAAATGCCAGAAATACTCCGCACGCCTGGATCTGGGCGGGAAGTCGAAAAATGACTGAAAATGCAGCGGATGAGCTGTTGTTTAGTCGGGGCATTTGGGCACAACAAGGGGATTATTGGATTGGATGGATGGCATCTGGCACGGACAATGGATATGGATACCCAGGGGGACTTCCTCTAGTCCTGCTGGAGGTATGGGGCACTTTGTAACCTGGAGGTATTATTTCATCAACTCCATGACCAATTTCATAGCGTGGCGCCCCGTGGTCTGACAATCGCCTTGTCTGTCTGTCGGTCTCATTCTCAACGACGACGCTGGTTACGCTGATGGTGGGAACAGTTTCAAGTAGACTCGATTCTGAAATGCGCCTGGGGAGTGTTGGCAGTTTTACATCTACATCTCTATTCCCCATACAGAGTACAGTCCTGATAGAATCTCCTCTAGATGGTTAAACTACTACATCCTCTCGTCTCATCCCCGAAATATAGCCCCTGAAAGAAAGAAAATGGCCCCCCTTTCCCTTTCCTCTCTTTCAGGCTAAAGCATAGTTAATTAATCTGCTCGGCCTAAGCGCTAAGTTAATTTAGCAAAGACTTCGAGTTTCAACAGAATAAAAACATAAAAGCATGTCTTCCAAAGAGTACAAATCTCAATCTTCCTTCCACATATACTATCCTTCGTCTCTAGGCTCGAATATTGCTCACCAGAAATTGCAAGATATTCTGGTTACAGACCTAGATTCGGAGGACCGCCGTTTGCTAGCCCCATCTCGGGGCCAGTCCCACATGTTCAAACGTCAACCATGATGGGATTCGCCAATTTTGAAATACCAATTGGTCGTAGGACACTGCGGGCATCGGCATGAAGCCCTAGGTAGTTGTTCAAACCCCCTCTTTCGCTTCCTCGCATAGAGCGCACCAATTTCATAAAAAAAAAAAAGGCGCCAACCTTACTCGCCTAAACAAGGTGCCCACTAAACTCTCTCTTTACGGATTAGGCTTGAATTAATTAATTTCACTTGTGGTTTGTTCGCTGCCGGCTTCTAATCCGTAGTTACAGCAGTCGTTCCAGCCCTCCAGGCTGAGGAACATTTTTGTACCACGGGGAGGGAGAAAACTTGACGAACCCAAGAGGCGAGGATTTCTTTATCTGTCGATCTCCCCCGGCCTAGTCTACATCGTCCTCCTTCGCCCCAGCCACTGAGATGCTAGTGAAACCGCCAGCGGCTTTGGAAACAGTGGCTTTTTCTTGCCTACTCATCCCCTCCACACTTTCATTTACTAAACCTTCGCTTCTGTTGTTGACCGATACCTATTCCTGAAAATATTTTCTTCCCCTTCGTAAAAAAGGAAAAGGAGAAAAAGCTAAGCTTGTGACGGAGAAAGCCGACGAGTTGCTTGTGGGTTGTCCTGGTCTGATTGACATTTGATACGCCATGACTTTCGCACAATTGGAGGGGTTCGTACGAGTGTAACTCGCCTGATTTGCCAGCCAGTTGTCAACACCCACCACTTACGCCATGCTGCACAGTTTCCAACACAACTAACCTCCTTGAACAAAGTACATACATCTCAATTCTTGAACTTACGCTCATCGCACATACTCTTCTTCGGCGCCGACGGGAATGCGGCACATATATTTTGTTACGAGCAATGGAAACATATAGGACTTGCTTGCTCGCACGCCCTGATATAGATGGACAATGCATGAATAACTACTACATAAAAATTTAGAAGTACGTTATCTCAGAGTTACTGTTGAACGCACTTGAATTAAACAACCGTCCCGCTTCGAGCTCGTCATCATCCCACCCCTCTCTCCCTCTCTCTCGCACCTTATGATTGGCTCTGTTTCGCAATACCCCTCCCTCTGCGAATGCCTTCGAATGAACTCTCACATCATAGCCATATCATTGCCAATCGTCCGAAGGTATGGATGCCAATGGCCAAAACCACGTGTCCTTAACAGTATAACCGTGGTCCTTTCTGCCACCAGACGTTCCCTTGGGTTATATCAAAGAGGGCTGCGTGCCAGTTTCAGAATACCACCCAGAAGCATAAATCAGAGCCTGCTCAGCACTCATCCCTTGCTACGCTGATATTATTGAACTCCTACCAATGAGAACCTTATTCGCCACTCAGATATAAACTGTGTCTGACTGCACAGGGAATCCACTGTTGATAAGCCAAGTGTAATTAATATTTAATCTGATGGCGCTTTTTCAACATCATTGGCCATGAAGCACACTATTTACAAAGCAACACAGCGAAGTGCTGTATCTCTTAAGTGGTTCAAGGCAGATATCTAAAACCTTGAATAGCAATTTTTCACAAATTCTCACATTCTATTTTTATAGGATAATCTACAGTTGACTCGAAGTTATTGCCATTCAAAATATACTTGCTGCTCTGAAAGAATTGCCTTGTATGCGTCCATGAGTCTTCATTCAAGCGTGCTTGAACCACTTCAACTCACAAGTTCACGAACCATTGACATATAGGTTTGCCACTTAACGGTCAATGTCATCTATCTTGGGCTTTGTAGCATTCCTGCTCTACACATGGGGCTTTGGCAGCCATCTAGGCCCAATTTCCACCGCAGTTGCTAAACGTGTGTGTTCTTGAACCTCTACAGCAGTTGATATATTGCTGTTGACCACAGTTCCTTCTGTTCTTCTCTTTTTGCAGCAAATGCTTGATGTGCGGCACCATTTTGGTAACTGCCCAAACTTACTAGAAGCTCCTTCAAAAGTGAGAATATAAGCACGTCCTTTATACACCATGAATGTATCCTCATCTGCTTCGAGCACGAAAACCCTTTGGTCAGGTGGCAAGATACTTTGAGAGCAGTTTCCTATTATGATACCTGCTACTTTACCCCTTTCCATCAGAACCCAAGGACAATGAACCTCATAATTTATTCATTCATTTATTCTACCACCTGTCCTCCTCTTTATTTCTAACTATAGCTCACCTCCACTCTTTACTCCCTGTCAAATTCACCGTATCCTCACTGAAGTAAAATTTAAGAGAGTAACATATGCACGGATCCAGGAAAGGGCATTAACATCTTTAGCACACTGTTAGTTTTTCAACTACGAGCGATATTTAAACAAACTCACTCCCCTTAGTTACGTTCTTCTCGGTCAATTGTTCTCCTTTGCCGTGAGAACTAATATAATCTGGCTCTGCATAAGGACTCCTCGCCCTCACTCGTCCTCCCGTCGTTCGATGCTGTAAGTCTCTCACATCTTCATCCGGATTAGATATGGTGGTATTATTCGGATGGATTTTCCTTTTGAGAAGCACATTTCTTAGCGGTGGTATCGTGCGTTCTTTGATTCTAAAGCTCTGCTCCAAATCTTCAAGATGTGCTGGTTTAGTGGATGATGTAAGAGAGCTGGCAAAGTCGGTGCAACGGTGTTAAACAAACTCCCTAAAAGAGTATACAGGTGACGAAGTTTTAAGGTTAATTTGAGATCTATGTTTATGCCAATTGAGTTGGCAGGTTCCATAGAACCTTAATCATTTAACCGAGCGGCTAAATTTCATATAATCGCAGTAAGCCCAATTACCGCTCTCATGAGCCGCGGGATCCACTCTACTCTCCAAAAGGCTGAACAGTGACAGCGTCATGACATCATGGCTTATTGAATTGGATTTTAAGGGTCAGGGAAATTACGGGAGAATCCGTGTGTAAACTAACTTCCTGAATTTTGCAGAACTATATCGCAGTTTATATTGCCGGGTACGGGCAAATTAGATTGAAACTCAGATGTATATAGATCTTTCCGCCGTGAGCAGACCAGCACTCAGTCCTGCAAAAGCAAAAGCAGCATGTCTCCCCAAGTAATTCACGAAATTAGGTTTGAGCATCACACGGGAAATATAAAATGCGGTCCACCAATTTCAAATTGCAGTAAATATTCATCTATATAGGTGGGACAGGAAGGAAATCAACCGCAAGCCCTTCTTCCCCTTTCACCTACTCAAGAAACAGTCAGGAGCACTGGAGAACGGCTCTTCCCTGTCTCCCTTCTTGCTATCCGAATCTGAAATCCTTGTAGCAACCGAGAGTTGAGAATCTTTCGACTTTCTTTTTTTGTCTCCCACTTACTCTTACTTCTAAGTTCGGAAAGTATGGAGTATGGATCATACCTAAATTAATTAGTAGCAGAGATGCAAGATACATAAACGCTGATTCACTTTTACAAATTAAGTTGTAGTTTATAGTTAGAAAGCGCAATCTCAGCATCAGAATGTATGTTCTTGTAGAGATACGCGTGCACCGCTAATGACAAGTGAAAGAAGAATAAATAGAACAAGCTGATGTTATTTTTCGCTCCCATCCAAACTGTTTAGCTTACAAGCTAGCAACAAGAAACCACGCTCTATTTTTGCCTCTGGATTAGCCACCACGTAACGTTGTTGCGGCATTGCAGCGTATTTTATCAGATCTCTAAATATCTCATCTCCTCCTCACTTAAGATACTTGTTTTGAATCTTAAATTTGGTTTGAGCAGGGCCCTGAGAGCTGGAAGTTTGTAAGAGGCAAACTTTTTCATGAGTCGCAGTTGGTTGTTATTAGAATGTCTGGTTTCAGTTGTGACTGAATTTGGGGAACTTGACCGCTTCAACGATACGGAGCATCCTCTCAAATTTTTGATTAGCAGTAAGAATTTTATTAAGGTGTAACTTTGTTACCAGCATAAAGTAATCTCATTCCCTTTCTTAACCAGAGCTCTAGGGGAGGTTAAATGCCTGTGGCACCTAAATAACCAGCTATAGCTTAACTAAAGCTAGCCTAAATCCCAAGGATCTTGAGAATGAATGGTAACAGTATTACAGCTTAAATTCTTAGCGTTAATCAAAAACTTTTGAGAGGATCCTCCGTATAATGAGGACGAGCGTTTTATTACATTGCTCTTAAAATAGACGTGTCCACTCAACAATTTTTTTTTCTTTTTTTAAGTTATTCCTTCATTTGTGGGAGTCAGCCCAGGTAGACATCTGTTAACTCAAAAAAAAAAAACCAAAAAAAAAAAAAAAAAAAAAAAAAAAAAAAAAAAAAAAGCAAAACTAATAAATACATCCCAGGTGGCCTTTTTTTTTGGTTTTTCTTTTTGCTTTTTCTCTCCGCCTAACTATTTGAATCAGAAAAATTTTCAAATCAAGGAAACCTGGAGTGTTTCAGATCTCAAACAGGCTAAGTTTCTCCCAAGTCATGTGCGAGGCGTTGATGATCCCTTCAAAAGTCCAATCAGCAACAGCAGGCGGGGGGGAGGCTTGATTCTATTTTTGGACCTCCCCACCCCTTCCTCTAGGATTATTACGTCAATGCGCTGTTTTGGTATTTACCTCCCTCTTGTAATTTGTGTATTGGGTTTACTAGATGTATATTTGCGGCTGGTGATGGGCGAACTCCTCCACCTTTTGAATTGAGAGGCAGCTGGGCATTCCGGAAACAAACAATTCGAGGTGAAATGATGAAGACTGTGCTATCCTGTTGCGTCACGCAGTTTTCTATACGGATGTATGCAGAAGAGGATCGTAATGAATACTATTTTCATTATTTTCTAATTATATCTCTGTAGTACCTAGTTACTGTAATGTTTAGTGAATATCAACACGAGAGAAGATGTAGCCAAGAATATCAATTCCTTCCTTCAGAATTCTATGGTTTCTCTCCATTCCTACATATGGACATGTAGAATATGGCAGATAAACCGCCAATGCACGCAGGCTCTAAAATCTTCCTCATTAGCCCTTCGGGCAAATGACCAAGCTTTCCCGTTTTCCCCCCTTTCAGCTCTCTTGAAACATGGATCAGGCACTATATGAGACACAGCTAACATAATTTTCGGCTAGAAGTTCATGTCGTGCTTCTTTCCAGGCAATATTAAGAGGGAAGGAGACAGAGGGTAACCAACTCAGGACCCTGGTACAGGATTAATTAGAGTTAATTGAGTTATACGGTTTTGTTTTTAAACCGCTGAAGCTAGTCAATACTACCTTAAATAAGAATTTGCGTTCCCAATAAAATGCTGAAGAAAACAATTAAAGAGAGCACCTCAGTATACTTACTTTTCGTCTTCATTGAGCAGTGCTGTTATGTTTTTGGTAATACTGATGAAGCTCCAGTTTCAACACGAGTCTCTCAATTCTTTACCCAGCAGTAATTGAGAATGCTGGGATCAAAATGCCTTCTTCTGGCAATGTGCACGCGTAATCTGGCCATCTGAACACCCACTTCTTGTCAGCAGCACACACCGATTTGATGACTGCGGCGCTTCTAGGACTTTAACCAGGAAAAACTTCATTCAATAAACCCGGTCGGTCTGGGCTTTTCCAACAGTTGACTGAGATCGCAATTAACTCAATCTCATAATACTTCAGAATATTCTGAAGGGATTTTGTGACATTCGAAGTTAATTTGTAGAGTATCCATCCAGCTTGGCTCATTTGAGCTTTGGGGAAACCTGGACCGTACCGGACGACAGGGAGCTATCCATTATTAGCTAAAGATCAGATTGCAATGAGGCATGATCCGAAACAATAATGCGCATGTCGATCAAACAGCCCCTTCCTGGTTCTTATTATGATCAGCGTAGCAAACAGGGAAACGGAAGAGAAAATCGTGGAAAGTTGGGAGGTAAAGGAGCAGCTTAACGTCATCATCGTAACTACCATGTACAGTCTAGTCTATACAAGGAGGTGAGCATATCTCGGTATTATATGATTTTGATATTGACGTGATGTTCATTGACGTTTTGTTCATGTTCCGTAGAAGAAAGGGGGGTTGGTTAGGAAAACAAAACCCACGGTTTTAAATGCCTTGTGGATGGGTGCACGTTCTCAAGGCCGTTTTCATTCACCCTCCCTTACCGGCGGTCAAATCTGGAATGTGGCAAGGCTGATCCGAGAAAACGGTCAGAGCACAATAATAATAATAGTTAGTTGGGAAAAGAAATACAGAAGCGCACCTAACGCTTTTCTGAAACATGAAACCGAAACACAACAATCATTTGCTAAGCGTGTTTTCTTGCGTGCTTTGAACCATTATTCCCTCTTCAGCTCTCAATCACAGACGCTTGCTGTTCGGGTTGCAGCTCCTACGAATCGTTTCGCAGGACGTTAACCGACTCTCAGGTAGGCTAGAAATGCTTGAAAGGAAACAATATGAGAGCACTGCTGGTCGTTTCGTGTAGGAGGCGCACAATCAATTTTCATCTGAGTGACAATGCAAATAGAGCATATATGTCCTTGAAGAGTGGGGGGGACAGGAAGGGTAAAGGGAAAGATCGGTTTTCTTCCTCTCTCTTTTTTTCCATTCCATTCTTCTCTTTTCTATGCTTAATGGGCACTAGTAGTGACCGCGGATCCCAAAGGGTGCTCATCCCATTCCATGCGCAAGCGTTTTCTAGAATTTTGTGATGACGGCAAGAGTCGTTACGCACACGTTGCGATGCGAGGGGAGTCTGGGATATGAAATAACCCAAACCCAAATATATCCCTGAACCACTAATGCCAGTCTCGTGCAGGCTGGGATGGCTAAATATAGAGCAGTTATGGTTGCAATCAACGAGGCCAAGGCTTCCAAGGGTGGTTGGATGGCTTTCGGGGCAGGTGGATAGTGAGTGATGATTGGCCGCAGCAGGAATCGTTCCGGCGGCTACAGCCGACAGGACAGGCCAATGGAATGTGTCCGACGAGGTCCAGCGAAGCAGCACGAATGGTCAACGGCAACAGGCGTTAGACAAGTGAATCTCTGTTGTATAAGCATGACTCTGTCTCTGCTGCCTCAGGTCCCTGGGTAAACGTGTAGTAAGTAATAATCATATTCTGGAGGAGAAGAATTCGTTCTGGTGACGAGCTTTTGACGCTGGCCCTGTCCCTGGAGCTGGAGGATGGATGGGCTTAAAATAGCTGCACCCAACCACCAGATAGCTAGGGCAGCCCTGCTGTAATTTACGCCGAGCTGACAATACCAGATCCGGGCCTTGAGTACTCCACCGACCCGACCGCACCCTTGTCCAGCTGTCCCTTCGACCTCCTTTGGCCCTGGAACTCCCGCCCAGAGGCTAGAGAGCAAACGTAACGGGCTGTGGACTTGTGGTTGGCTCCCTGCAGCGCGACCTAGCGCTAAGACCCTGGCCTGCTCATCCTGGCTGGCTCGCGTCTCGCATGTCTTGTCATATCGTGTATTATTGTATGGTATGGTATCCGTGTTTGTTTGTGTTCTGTAACGTCCGATGCGGCTGCTTGCTCTGCTCCATCTCTCGTCTCCCTCAACTTATCCTCCTCCTCCTCCTCCTCCTCCTCCTCCTCCTCTTCTTCTTCGTCGTCTCTCCTCTCCTCTCTTCCTCTCCACAACGTCGTCATCATTATCACCTCCTTCCTCCCCTTCAAACTTCTATACTCCTTTTCTCTTCTCTTCTTCTCGTCTCCTCTTCTCCCAGACACTGGCTGTTTGGCCTCCTGTATTGCCCTTCCCCCTCCATCCCACTCCTGCACACTCTGGTTCCAAGCATCCATCCAGTCTAGAAATACCCCCTTCCTCTAGGCTTGCAAACTTGCTTACTGGCCAACCCCTTTTGATCCCCCTCTCCTGATTCCAGATTGTCTGGTGTCTCTCCTGTCGGCACTCCACTGCCCATTCTCTGCTGCTACTCTCTTCACTTCTTCTACTTTCCTTTCATTTCATTTCATCCCATCCACCTTGACGAGGTTACACTATTTCACTTACGCACTTTCGAGTCTTTCCCGGGTGGAAACGACTTGTCCCACGGCTCATCGCGAGCCCCGGCCATTCGGCCATTCAGCCATCTATCCAGCCATTCGACCCTCCCGATCCACGTCCCCTAATTTCCCTAACAAAGGGTTTCGCCCTTGACCGACTATCCACCTCCATTTCGAAGCGGGCGCCCTCCCGGAAAGTCGTTTATTATACGATTGTTATTGAAGAAACCCAAGGGCAAACACTTTAACGATAAGTACCACGCATTGACAGCCCAATATAACGCATAACCTAATGGCATATCTGGAACCGTTGCTGGTCTGAGATATAAGTTTATTGCGACTTGGCTGTTGGGGCCAAGAGTGTTTTGCTGGGCCTTCTTTTTGCCCTTGTTTCTGTTAAGATACTAAGAATATCCACCGTAAGTCAAGGTCAATACTTATTCTCTGCCATTGTCGTTTTGTGGCATGTTTTGGCGTTGCCCTACCCCCGCCTATTGTCTTTGGCGCCCTCTGCGCCATGATTCACCTTGATTCTCCCGCTTTTGTTTAAACGGTTTCCGTGGTGATCAAGGGTTGTATCATTTACCATGTCATGCTGGCCTCAAGTGACTTTGCATGTCTCTTTTATCCCTCATTCCTCCCCCTCTCCTTTTACCAACATAACTTATTTCTTGCCGCGATGGTCTCAGCTGTCGAACCCATCGACTCAACTGCCATGATATCTTGGACTCAGTATACCAAGACTGTCAATGCTAACAGATGCCTAAAAAGATCGTTTGCGCAGGTGGCAGGTCCAAAAGCCCTTTATTTCCAGGACGTCCAATGCGGCATCCATAATACGGCAATGTCGTTAGAGATGCTGAATGAGCACAGCAACTGCCCACAGATTGGTTCAACGAAACGCAGATCTAGTTCTCTCTCGCGGTCGGACATACCCGCCCAGCCAGCCTCTCCCTCGCTCTCTTCGTCGTTTCCCTCTTTCATGTCTACAATTGCTGCTGCAACTGCTGTTGCGGATGGGTCGAGTTATTATTACAATGAGGGAAGAGAAAAGAAGCGCTTGGGACCAAGGATAATCATGGATGCGGGCGGCTCAACGACGGCACCGTCAATTGCATCCGCCTCAGCCACTTCCACTGCCCCCGTCAAGGCTACAGCGGTAGGGTATGGTCTAAGCCGTCCACGGACCGCTGGCTCAACAGCACTTAATCCTCCCCAGATACCCTACCAATATCTACCACGCGAAAACCTGTCCATTGCATCCGGATCGACAGACTCTTCCCCCACCACTACTATCTCCACTTTTGATTCCCCTGTCGTCCAGGACGCTTCTCCAAGCTCTTCACCGGAGTCCCCTTCCTCTGTTACGCCTCTTCCATCGCTTAAACCCATGACACGTATTACGAATGGCGATCGACTGGCTGCCCAGTTAAGCGCTGAGTCGTGTTTCAGACCGAACCAACCCTTCTCTACTCAACATCATCCTCAGCCGGAGTCCCCAACACGCAGAGCTCGAAATTTGAAGAATTTATCGCTTAAATTACCCCCGACTGCGTCCTCTCGTCAAGCCATAGCTACAGCCCCCATCAGAAACAACACGCCTAATATCTCAGCGCCCGCATCTCCCATACAATCTAGTACCAGGTGTTTACGTCGCAAACCTCCAAATCTTACGATACAAACACCTTCCTTTGACCGATCCTTTTCTTCTAATATTTCAGAGGTTGTTCCTCCTACTCCAAATACCCGACCCACCCTTCGACATATCGAGTCGTCACCGTCACTCAACTCCATATTCTCTCCAACAGCGCCAAGTAAACCTTCTCTTGCGCTTCCGGGTTCATTTTTCCAGTCTTCGAAACGGCCCATGCCAGGCGCTTGGGAAGATCGCGTTTCACTGGATCGACCATCCCCTTCTGCACAACACATATTTTCCAGTAGGGAAGCTTTGCATGAGCTTGTTGAGGAAGAGGATAACCTAGCTTCACGTGAATCGCAGAAGGGTAGCGATAAGGGTTATCCGGATGGACCTATTTTAATATATGACACCGGCCTCTACCTCTACCTGGAGCCAAGCTGCGAGGAAGCTTCAAAATTTGATGTCGTTATAAATGTCGCCAAGGAGGTTACAAACCCGTTCACAAACGCAGAACTGAAACAGGATACTGTCGTCTCGGTATGGAAGGCTACATTACCTGATGCGCAGCGACAATCCGTGGCGGAACCTGATACTGCCCTGTCAGAAATTTCTTTCAAGTCTGCTTTCGAACATCAGCCCATAGGGACGGAGTCGCCGGCAAGCCCAAGGCGTCGCCCATCTGAGCCAGAGTACATACATGTACCATGGGATCACAACTCTGAAATTCTCGACGACTTATATCCTCTTTGCGAGGTGATCGATAACAGGATTTCGCAAGGGAAAAAAGTCTTGATCCATTGCCAACTTGGCGTCAGCAGATCCGCGTCGCTGGTCATCGCATATGGTCTGTTTAAAAATCCCGATAAAGACTTCAATGCGATGTACAGCATTGTAAAGGGTAGGAGTTGTTGGGTTGGGCCGAATATGAGTTTGATTTATCAACTGACTGATTTCCGGACACGGGTTCAGCAACGGGGCCCTTCCCGATCTCCTCCGGCTGAATGGTTTGATGGATCCCTAGATGCGAAAGCATCTACCACCCAACCAGAAGCTCAAGGGAATTCTTCTTTGATTTCAAAACCCCCACGACCCCCAGTCCCTCTCTTCGACGCAGTCGTCAGCAATTCAAAAAACTCAACGACATACCCATTCACCAACCCCTTTAGCTGGACAGGCTCACACACATCATCTTCAAACTCAACATCATCCGCATCGGCAATTACGAGCCAACAGCGTCGAAACGTCTCCCCACGCCCCCTACCTCTCCGCGAACAGTACCAGACAATCCACTCCCTCCGTCGTCCTCGTCAGGACAACTCCATCCCGTCCCACCGAACCTTATCTCGAACCTCCGTCCACCAAATGGACCTTGTCATGCAAGACGTTCCCGCAACGCCATCCATACTCTCACCCCGCGCCGCTGAGTTCTGGACAACCCCATTCTCCCACACCCGCACCGCCGCGGGTGATCTCGCCTGTCGTCTCGACAGTACCAACAAGAATGATTCCAATCCTAGTGGCAGTGGCAATCGTGTGTCGATAGAGGTTATGTCCCCTGTCGTTCGCGCCTGTCCCTCACCACCTCCAAACGCTGCGGATCCGCGGTCACCACCGCAACAACGGCGGGAACCAGTTATTATGAGAAATATTGATGAATTTCTTTGATACCATTTTTTTTTTGTTCTGTTTGTTTTTCCTTTAGCTTTTGTTGACTTTCTTATTATTGCTGCAGTTTGCATGTTGAGCGGTGCCGACAAAAAGGGGAGGAGAGGATGTAATGAGAGATTTGAGATATTCGGGGGATGAGGGCAAAGAAAGTAGCTGGGAAACCCCCCCCACCGGCCCCCCGCCCCCCTCCCCCACGCCCTCTCATTTCTATTTCCTTCTCGTCTTCCTTTTCGTTTGCCCTTTTTTCTTAATTCTTCCGTGATAATTTGTTGTTGGGCAGCTGGAAAACACGCCCGCAAAGCGAGGGACGGCGTTCTTGGTGAGATCACAATAATCTGGGTCTTTTTTTTAATTTTATTTTTCCGTTTTTGGCCTTTCTCTCTTTTTTGTGTGCTGTATGGTGCATTATAAGGGAAAATCCATAAATTATTATTATATAATTTTGGCGGAGGTAAAGAAAAAGGGGGGGAAGGTTTTTTTTCTCTCTTTTATCTTTGCATCGCTCTTTCCTTTTTCTTTTCTTTTCTTTTCTTCTCTTCTCTTTTCCTTTCTTTCTTTTCCTTTTCTTTTTGTTCTTATTATTTTCACCTTCCCCTCTTGTTTTGGCTGTTGGTTGATATGAAATGAAATGAAATGAATGATTTAATCTCTTTTTTCTCTTTTTTACAAAAGAACCACTCACTTTTGAGCTGAAATGAGATATGATTATGACTTAAAATGGGATTAAAGTCAGTGAGATATAGCACAGGTATTAATATTATATAGTCTTTTATAAAAAAAAAAAAGAAAGTCCACCTTCTCTTTGATTTTTACATTTTCTGAAGGGTGTCTAGCAGCAGGCTTTGGTGTTTGCTTTGTTCTTTTTTTATACTCAATGTCAGTTTACTGCTATTTATGAGTTTGATGTTTCATCTCAAAGTCTTCTTTCTAAGAATTTTGTTGTGCAATAGTTTTCTTTTTGATATCTTGTTTCTTTGTCAAAATGAAAATCAAGGTATTAATTAGAATAAAGAAAATAATATGTGAAGAGTCTGCTTAGCTTTAATAGATGTTAAATATAAAAGAGAGAGCTAAGTTTCAGAATGAGAATATAAGAATGTTTCTTGGAAAGACTCATGTTCATTTCACAAATGCATGACTTCTTTTTGGAAATGCTTTGTTTCATTGAGAGTGTACTCTGATATTTCATGTGTTTGAGAAGTGAATATGAGAATGTTTCAAACCTCTTTTTCATGTCAGGACTGGTGAAGAATGAGAATAATAAATGTAATTAAACATGTTTCAGAGCTAGTTTCCAAGAAATATGACAGATTAGTCAAGGGTTTGAAATCAACTTGAGTACCTCTTTTATGAATTTATTGCTCTGTGCAATTGGGTGATCTATGATAATGAGGGGAAAGGAGTGAAAAAGAGGGAGTGGAACCTGAACCAAAACAAACCTACCTCTGAGACTACAAAAGCAAGTAGAATGCCCTGCAATACAATTCTACACAAAGGATTAATTAAGCCAATCAATCCTCTACAGGTATTTCCCCACAACCTCCTTGAGCACCTCATGATCCAACAACGCCTTAACCTTCAATCCGCCAGGCCCTTCCATATCCTCCGAGCTCACCAGGGCATTATAGATGGCCTCCTCCGTCGCGTCCGCCGCAGCTTCAAACAGCGCATTGTACGTATCCTGCACGGCACGCACTTTCTGCTCCACATTGACCGTCCCGATAAATTCCGGCTCATTACGGCTGACCTTCTCCGCCGTGCTAAAGGCGACGAAGATGTCGCCAGAGCTGTTGGAGCCCCCAGCTGCCCACGCACGATAGTCCTACCGTCGCGCTCTTGGCTAGGCGTTCGAGCTGGACGGGGTGGGTGTAAGGGTGCATATGTGGCGAGGACGACGATGATGCTGCCATCTTTCGTCGCCATATTTTCTTCTCTTCTTCTTTTCTTCTTCTTCTTCTTCTTCTTCTTCTTCTTGCGCGACCGCGAATGCTACGGGTGATGGTGCAGCTACTACCTTCCGCTCCTCAATGATCCTACCCAGCGGCACCCCGCCAACATTAACTCCCCCTGCGAGCGGGGGAGGAGCATATCATATCATGAACCCGTTAGAGGCAGAGTACTATTCATTCCACCCAATGACCAGGGTTCGGGTGTCGTACGCGGAGAAATTAATTGCATTTCGTAGACATCCACGGAAATAGATCAGTGTGCTCCATTATAAAAGGAGACTTATTAAGAAGATGACCAGAAGAGTCTCAGATGGTTCAATAGTGGATCGAAGTTATGTACGGAGTACTCCGTACTGTATAAATTATTTATATTCCATTTGGGCTGCCATCGCGTGGAGAGATGTCTTGGCGACAGGCTGACTTCTCATGGGGTGGAGAGGGGTATGAAAGCCTATAACTAGTAGCTACAGGGTGGTGATAGCCAGCCTAGACTCCAGCTAAGGGATAGCTAAGAACTCAGTAAGAAACGTACTAAACCCCACTAAACCGCGCCCCGAAGACCCGGCCCTATAGGCTATAGAAGACAGCATGTCCCCGAAAGCTAAACACAGAAAAAGCTAGCTCCAATCCCGGCAAGTGGCGGGGTGAAATTATGACGAGATGTCTTTAAATTCCCGAAGAAGCAAGCTTGTCACTCTCGACAAAACGCGGTAATCAATATATATCTAATATTTATCACAATGTCCACTCTCACTCATGCTGAAGGTGTAGATGGACATCCACCACACCTAGAGCCAAGCCAATTAGGCACGAAGGAATAGTAAGTGGGCTAGCAAAGTTTTTTATTTTTTACCCCTCAATCAACGTTGTCCCGCGCCAAAGCGTATGCCGGTATCCTAAAGAAATTTTTCATACAACGGAGAAAATAGCTGACCCCGACTAAAATTTCCTTAATATGTGAGAAACTAGCTGGGAATCATTCTACGATAACTCTCTATCTCACCTATCTTCGAAGCAACGGGCGCGGGCGCGCAAGGGTCAAAGTCGTACCAAAGACGAGAGTGAAGCCGATGATAGAAACGAGGAGGAAGACGAAAAAGGTGCCGATGATGATGAGTACAACGGCGATGAAGACGGAGACGAAGACGACGACCCTGGCACATCCTGGTTCATAGAACACAACTCGCCCGAAAAAGTCATGAGATTCCTCACCTCCGAATCCTTCCCGCTTGCACCCTGTAACACTACTCCGAGTACACAGACACAACGGCAATCACAATCGCAATCGCAACCACAACCACAACCCAACATCCTCGACCTTGGAACGGGGAACGGCAGCATGCTTGCCCTCCTCCGCGACGAGGGGGGTTTCACGGGGGGCCAGATGGTCGGAGTCGACTATTCTCCCAAGAGCATCGAGTTGGCGAGACGGTTGCATCACCATCGTCATGACTCCTCCTCAACGCGGGACGGTGGGGCGGACACTGCTGCTAGAACTACTACTAGTGGTACCCCGGCAATCCGCTTCGAGGTGTGGGATGTCTTTGACAAGCGAGCTGTGGAGGAATTGGATTGGTTCCCGGCTGCTCAGGGCGGGTTTGACATCGTGCTAGATAAGGGGACGTTTGATGCCATTTCGCTTTCTGCGGAGGAGGTTGTGGTGGATGTCGGGGGTGCAGCGAGGGTAGGGGGAGCAGACAGGGGAGCAGGAGGAGAGGAAAATGTGGATATGAAGGGGTCGCGCGTGGTGCAGAGGAGGGTGTGTGAGCGGTATCCTGGCATTGTGAAGGGGTTGGTACGCAAGGACGGGTTTCTGGTTGTTACGAGCTGTAATTGGACGGAGGAGGAGTTGATTAGGTGGTTTACGAGGAGGGAGGTGGGGGAAGGGGAAGCGGAGGAAGGGGGTAGGCTGGTGGTATGGGACCGTGTTGATTATCCGAAGTTTCGGTTTGGAGGGCAGGAGGGCCAGGGGGTGTGTACTATTTGTTTTAGAAGGGTGAGTGGGAGCTAAAATGGGGGCGGTGTCCTGGGTTAAAAGCTATGATGGGGTGATGAGTTATGAAAATAGAGTATAGAATAATAAAAAAATCATTTTCGATATCAGCGTCATGAAAACGACCAGTTTGCCTGGGGTTCAATTGTAACTCTCTGCTATTCTGGAGCCCTAGTATAAAATTCATCACAACCATCACATATAAAAAGACATGTAAAATCTACATCCCAAATGACGGTTACTATTTCACCCCTTTCTCAAGAACGCAACAACGCACCATCTCGCTCTGTTCTCCGGGCCCTCTTCCGGACGTACAGACATCCACTCCCTCGTAACCTCCCCTTCCTCACTCGTCGCATTGACGTCTCGTTCCCATATCTTCTCCACAACTAAACCCATAGCCACTGCCGTCTCAAAGAATGATGCCACAATCTCTCTTCCAGTATGGAATCCCGCAACTACCCAAGCTACGGCCCCATTTACATCTGGCGACGACGACGGTGATGATGATGGTGATGATGCTGGTGGTGCGAGAAACCACAATAAACTCCGTACAAGATTCTCATGTTGATCTCTCATCCACAGACAATCCGCCGCAATGATCCTGGTAAATGAGGCTTGATTCTCCACGGTGAATTTCAAAGCGGTCTGTTTCTGGGGAGCTTGTGCCTTGTTTTCCTGGGAAGATGCTTCATCGAGACCCAACACACCCCATTCGTGCGGCTGTATGGATATTCTAGACTGGAGATGTTTGGGAATATTATTAGTGACGTTTGCCTGGATGGCGCCGTACAGGGCAGGAGAGGACGGATGGTCTGTTATCGTAACCTGGGCAGCACCGGCGAGCGCGCTTACGAGTGACGGGAGGGCCGCGCCTGGTATTGCATGGTGTATGTTGGTTTTTCAGTTGGGGCTTTGGAAATAGTTGTTTTATTCGGGTATAATTCAAAGGGGGGAAAGCGAAAGGGGCACGCAAATTTTGAATATAGGTGTAGGACTGGACTTTGCTTCTCCTTTTCCAATATTGGTTTCTTGCACCAGATTAAAAGAGGAGAAGAAAATTGTACGCAGTTGAATTTATATATAAGTAGATATATAAACTTGGAAGTACTGAGAACAGCAGAACGGATGAAAGCGAAGAAAATACAAGTTTCGAAAAAAATCATTCTTGACTCTCGAAAACCTCCCCTTTCTTTACCCCTGAACCCAGGGGATACGGAATAAAAAAACTACAAAAACTCAAGAAAGGCAGCTTACCTGCACCAAGCTCCAAAACCTTCTCACCCCGTACATCCCAAATCAAATCTTTCTCCTTCCCCTCCTCTTCTCCCACCCCATTTCCTCCAGCCAGAGCCTCCGCTGAGCGCTCAATCCCTTCAGCAACAACTAAGCTGCCACCCCACAAATAATGCGCGAAGAGTCGCCTTCCCTCCTCAACACCTTCTGCTCCCTTGTCAAGCTTTTCCTCCTTCCCACCCCCTTCTATCTTGGGGTAATCGGGAACCATAACCGTCAGATCACCCCATGCGCCTGAAGTGTATAGAACGGTCTGGCCGGGTTCCCCTAGACATGATGGCGCCTCGTCCGGGTAGAGGTGTGGGAGGAAGCTTGTTAGAAGGTCTTCGACGTCATCGGTGGAGGTGGAGGTGGAGGAAGGGGATGGGGGGGACGGGATCTGGGTAGTAGTTGAGGGGTGGGAGGGGGGTTCATGATCATGATCATGGTGGTGGTGGTGGTGGTGTAGAAGTTTTACGCGAGATGGGAGCATCGCGGGGTGTTTTTGGTTTTTTTCTCAAAGGTAATATTTGTGCGGGGGACATTTGCAGTGGAGAGACACTAGAATCTTCTAGTTGGGTAACATGATTGCTCGTACACCAGAGGGAGAAGAAAAGAAGAAGGGGGATATAGAAAGGGAATGGGTGGTGTGTTGTATGGAGTCAGGGGAAGGGAAAAAAAAAAAAAAAAATTCAGGAGGTGAGAACGGGAAGGAAGCCTTATCTGATGCGATGACGTTTATCTTATGACATGCAAACATACAAACAGCAAGCTGAAGAAGGTAACTTATATACGGAGTACATATTTAATGTATCTCCGTGGCCAGGTATTATTAAACCCCCTTCCACATCGTCCAAAAAAAACAACAATAATGATTAATTTACATATTATGTCACTTAATACAAGTGAGACCGAAACATCTTCCGCCCATATCAGGTATCAGGAGAGGAGGCGGAGGAGGGGAGAGAACTGGAGGAGACAAAACGAGCCACCAGCAGTTAACTAAGCAATGATTTTCGAAACCCCAATATCGTCAAGTTGCCTGAAGAAAAACTGTTTGAGGATGAAGACCCCAAATTACATACGCCCGCCATCTCCGGTTGCAAGGATGACAATACATATATTGAACTCAACCGGCTTCTTTTTATGTAGGCATCCACTCATCGACACACACAACGCACTCAACAACACACTCCCATAAATAGCCCCCGCTCTCACTCAGCCCTGAGTACTCGACTTGAATGCTTGCGTCGCTATTACAGTGTGAAAATTTGTAGTGTTTTCAGGTGCGAAATGTGGATTGGAGAGGTGGATTGTATGGATTATATATATATAGTAAACGGAGCAGGGCTGGTGTGCTGTATGTAGTTTGTACATCGTTAACAAACGATTGGATAATAAGAAGAAGAATGGGAGCTAACTTGAAGTTCCCTTGCTAATCCTATGCGAGTATGGAGATCTCCAAGGCTATATATAATAACCCCGCTATATAGTCGCCCATCCCTTCTTACAGCGTCGCAGATAGAAGTTAGAAGTAAAATACAGCAAAGAGTCCCGCCAGGGAGAGTGTTTATCTATTTCCCGCTCTCTACAGCAATATATCTATACATTTAGATATACTAGTTAATTCCATCGATTCAACAAAACCTCCCCAAAGCAATATACGCCTATCGCCAAACCCTCGCCCCTGTTCAGATCAGATCTACAAAACCAGGATCAAAATGCAGAAACGAAAATGGACCCCCTAATCCAAAAATCCATCACAACCTCCCGCTCCCTCACATACTCCTACTACATCTCCCCTCAAACACCACCCCACCACCGCCCTCATCAACAACAAAACCCCATCCCCCCCCCTCCTCCTCCTCCTCCCTCACAATCCCCTCCCTCACAATCCCCTCCCTCACAATCCCCTCCCTCACAATCCCCTCCCTCACAATCCCCTCCCTCCTAGGCTCCCACCCAACCTCCGCCCCGCACAACCCAGCCGCCTACAACACAAGAGCCATGGCCGCCGAAGACATCGACACCGCCATCCCCATCGGCCACGACCGGGGCGCCTTCATGGCCCACGCGCTTCCACCTCTGTCTGGCACACGCCGCCGCGTCGCGGCCCCGGGGCATGCTGAACGTCGCGTACGTACCCCGCCCGACCGACCTGGGCGCCTCAGGCCTAAATAATATGAATGGGATGCCATGGATAAGGCAAAAGTATTGGGTAGTCTATGTTTTGACATCCTTCGTATTTTGAGCCGTTGCCTTAGTGAGGGGGACAGTGATAGGGAGAGTAAGATGTTAATG